TTATCTTCTTTGTTTTTTAAAGATGTTAATAAGTAAATAACTTATTTTTCAATGACAAGATCTTTATATATTATTTATTGATAAAATACAAGCTATTATATTTAAGCATTTATTTGATTTTCATTAGAATAACGACGTCACATTACTGGTCAAAAGTATCATTTCTTTCTCTCTCTCCCTCTCTGGATCTCAGTCCATATGTGAGCTCGACTTCTGGGAACTCGAGTGCAAGTATTTTACAGTAGATATAGATCAACAATGCCATCAATATCAAAGTCTCTTAAGCTGGAATAGTGTTATAATGAATAGGATACATGATTACTGTGAATTTCGTGACTAGGAAACGAAAAAGCATTTAAAGTCGAGCAGTTAGACATGTTGTAGCCCTTCACAATAGCTGTCTTTGATATCAATTTTATGAAAGTTTTGTTTTGATATCGTTGATAGATGTGAAAAAAATCTACTATATATAAGTTAAATTGTACTATTCTCTAAGAACCGTTCCCTCATATAGTCTAAGAAATGAACATAGCTACATATATAGAACTACTATGATTTCTGTTATGCCATAAAACTGTAAGTCATTCGCAACGATTTAGCAAGTGAAATGTTGACATACCAAGATGCTTCCTCAATTGGGTAGGAAAAATAATAATAGACTTAAGTAAATGGCGTGCAATTTCAATCTTTGATATAAGTAATTTTCAATCTTTTAGCCAGAAGTGATAGTATAAGTCATAGTCTTTCATTGCTCTAAAAATAAGTTTGTTTCTTTGAGTAATAAAGACTATACAGTCTTGACTGATTCACAATAATCATTGATGCGCTATTTCAGTCAAGCATATTGTGTTTTTTTTCTATAACCATCACATCGATCTTAATGGCTCGATAGGCTTTGATAAAATTAATACCAGAGATGGCTATGATGTAGAGCTACCAGATGAGTGGTTACTCGGCTTTAAATTTTTCTTTTTGTTCCCAAATTACAAAACTCACAATGGTCATGTTTGCTATTCATTATAATGTCGTTCTAGCTTAAGCGATCTTGATAATGATGACATAGTTAACTTATATTTATTGTAGAATATTTGCACACAAATTTTCAGATTCTAAACTCTCATACGGACTGAAAGTCGAGAAGAAATACTCTTGGCTAGTAGTATTATTGCTTTGTGAATACAAATAAATATCATTAAAACGTTAAATAAATTACTGTTAGCACTCAATACCATATAAATCATAACTAAGCCTGAGAAATTCATAAAATAAATAAATATACAAACAAATGTAAAAAAGCAAAAAGGATATAAAAATAAAACAAAAGTGATTTGATTTCTCATTTTTTTCGTTCACAAATATATTGAATGAGGTCTCTAATTGTACCGGCTTGTGGCCATAAATCATTCAGAATCGATTCTACTTGTTTCCTTATATTTACAATACGTTTTCGTGTTCCTTTAACTCCCAATAAACTTATATAAGTTACAGTTTTATTTTGTTCATCAATATTTATTTTTTTTCCAAGTTCACTCGTATCACCTTCAACGTCAAGTAAATCATCTTTCATTTGAAATAAAATACCCATTAATCGACTAAGTTCACGAAAATGATCTAATGATTGTTCTTGTGTAGCAAGAATAACTGGACAGATAAGAGCGATCTCAATAGCTTTACCAGTTTTTAAATAAGCTATACGATCAAGTTCATCAATAGTTAATGATTTTTTAGTTCTTGAACATTGTAAATCAAGAAATTGTCCATAACAAAGTTCACTCATTGATTGTGCTATTTCAGCAGTAACTTGATTTATACTTTCGTATGAAAAATTTTCTTTTCGAAGATCAATAGTAACTGATTGAATAGCATATGCAATGAGATCTACAGCAGCTAATTGAGCTCGCCCTTCAGTTAACGATGGTGGAATATCATTGTGATCATCATCAATCGTCATATGAAGTGTTGGTTGACCTCGTCTTAATGGCGCATTATCCTGTGCAGGAAGATCATCAAATATTAAACTACTTGTATGAAGATATTCCAGAGCTCGAGCAAGTGGTAATATACGTTTAATATCAATATTATAAAGTTGTGCAACCATAAGTAAAAGTAAAGGCCGTAAACGTTTTCCACCAGCTTTTAAACTATAATTCATTCCATGAACAAGAAAATTATTATCGTCTGTTTCTATTGATAATTGTTTTTCAACTAATGGTAGACAATCATATGCAAATGTTTCAAGTTTTCGGTGATTAAGAGAATAACTTTTAGCAAACATATTAATATAACGAAATACTGCTTTTTCTGGATCACCAATGCGTGAAAACAAATTTTCTAATGAAAGAAAATATTTGTATAACTTAGGATATGATTTTTCCGTAAAGATTGTAAGAAATTGTTTAAAATCATCTCCAAGTGAACGTAATGTTCTCATTATTCGTCGTCCTAAAAATGAACCTGTATTCTTTTGACGGTTACTTTCTACGTAAAGATCTTCACAAACAAATAAGAAAACAAAAAATGGATTAAATGATGTACCATTATGTTGAACATAATATGTTACAGGTGTTATTGATTTTGCTTGAGAATCTTCATTGAAATCTCGACAATCATCTGTTAATTGTCCCAAAAAAGGTGTTATCCATAAACGTTCATGATTGTCAATTATATTTGCTCCACCCATAAAAGCTGTTGCAGTATAAGTAAAATGCGATTTTAATAAAGGACCCAAAAACAGATCAATATCAGTGTAATTAGAATATTCTAAATCTTTTTTATCTAATCGTTGAGAACGAAGAAGTAAAGCAAGATCAGTAAATGTTTGTTCAGTAATTGAATTTATTGATGTAAGTTGAACAAGACTATGAAATGTTTCAAGTAGAAGTGGAGTAATCGGTAATTGAGGTAATGAAGATGTATTTAATTGATCACCACATAAAATATGTTCTGCTTTTTCAAGCCATTTATCAACATCAAATTGTTTTTGTTGATGATTTTGATTATCTTGAAGACCATCAACAAGAGCATAAGCAATACCATAATAAAAACCCATTTGAAGTGCTTGAAAAACTTTCTTATCAAGTTCATCTTGTTCATTATTTATAGTAAAACTAAATAGTCGAGAAATACCAACGCCTATAGTCGTACGTACAAGTCGACCAAATGCACCTTGATTTGTTAGACTAATCGGCAATGTTTCTAATGCTATTTTCCATTTTTCTAATAACCATGTCCATTCATCAATATAAATAGTTGGTGAAAGAATATTTCCTGTTGGTAAATCCGAATTAAATGGACTAAATAGTGATGATGGTGAAAAAGATTCAGATGAGTCGGTTTTTAATAAATAAATAAGTAAAGATATTGTATTGAGAAACATATGAATACGAGCTATAAATCGATCACTGATAGACTTGTCAGTATGATTCTCATGATCTAAGGAATGTCCAAAACGTAGCAACTAAAAAAAAAGCAAATAAATATATGTCAAAAAAATACTGACGAAATTTCTATGCTAGTAATATTTCTTTCGTTTGACAAAGATTAATACGTATATTGAGAGATATATGAGCCAATAGATAGTTCGAGCTGTTGAAAGAAAAATTTAACAAATACCAATCTTGACACTAGTTTCTGTCTCTATATGAATCACTAAGGTCAAAAAAGATTTTAATATCAATAAATCAGTGTGTGTGCCTAATCTTCAAAGTGACATAAGGAAGAGATATTGCCGACGAGTTATCTTGTAAATCATATTTATCAAAATATAATTGATGAGAGATAATGAAAGAAAAAGGATCGTTTATGAACTAAATAAGTCAAGAAACAAGTATTTAAGAGTGTTTTAGACATCATACAAATATATTCTGTAATAATTTTTTTTAGACCGAAACCAGACAGATGTAACAAAACTATGGCAGTGATTATTGAAATAAAAATTAGTGGGAATAAAAACGAGGATCATACCAGAGATGTACGGAGTCAAGTTTTTCTGAACCCAGTAACTATTTTTTTCTATTAATACCATTGATAGTCCCAGTAAATCTGATCTAGCCTCGATAATTTTTTTTTCTAGTAGTCTCTGTCCGAGTCTTGGTGCCTGGTTCTAATCTTGATTTCGGTCTATAGAAAATTACTGATTAATTATTATATTGGGTTAGTGTTCGATTTTAAATAAGAAGATACGTATGGACTACTACTGTATGGTTATTTTCACCATTCTTTTCTCTCATAATAAACGAAAATATGTATCGGACAAAGTTGATATTAAGGCAAAATGAAACAGAGTTTTCAATAATCTAAAAACTTAAAAAATCAAAAAAGATGATAATAAAGAACTGATTATATATATCTATATTATGTTTAACTTTACTTGAAGTCTAGTTAACTCTAGGAAATTCTAGAGTTTGTGAGTATATTTATTTGCAATACGACTAATTCTAGGAAATTATACAATTTATGAGCTTATTCAACTGAAATCTGACGAAAACTAGGAAGTGGTAAAGCTTGTAATTGCATATTCAATTGAAATTTGAGTACTTCTAGAAAGTTGTAAAGTTCGTGAGTGTACTGATCTGAAAAATGACTAATTCTAGGAAGTTGTAAAGTTCGTGAGTATATTAATCTGAAAAATGACTAATTTTAGGAAGTTGTAGAGGTCACGAATGTATTCAATTGAAATTTGAGTACTTCTAGAAAGTTGTAAAGTTCGTGAGTGTGTTGATATGACAAATGACTAATTCTAGGAAGCTGTAGAGGTCACGAATGTATTCAATTGAAACTAAATTTGTCTTTCCAACTGCTGATTAAAAAAAAACAGAATCTTTACATTTACGCTTTTTGAGTAGAATGTTTGTCAGCGTTTAGTTTTCTTTTTCGAATTTCATGTGATTCATAGATGATATACAATGTATAAGTACTGTATGATGCTGTTAAGTGTTTTTGCTTTATTTTCTGGCCTAAGGATATAAAGAATGTTATACCTTTTCTATTTCAGTGGTAGAGTAATCGATGCCTTCTCTAAGACTTTAATACTCGAAAAACGTAAAATACTACTTTATTATTCATGAGAATACTTTTGAAAATCATTTTTCAATACCAAAGCGGAAGAAGTCATTAGCGCATACATATCAATTTTAACAAGTGAAAATGAGCATTCTGTCTAGTAAAAATAAGGCATCTATATGGTATGTTTTGTTAATGGAAACAATAATTTAGAATTTATGTATAAATAAAAGAAAGCTATAAATATTTCATAGTTCTATGCTTAATTAGAAAACGAATTCTACTTGTGAAAAATATCTAGATTATTCAAAAAAAAAAAAATACATACTAACCATAAAGTCATCGGCTAAATTGTGAAGAGACATTGAATATGATCGTTTACTTTTGAGAATAAATGTTGCTTTATGAAGAATATTTGATGATATTGATGCTTGACTAAATTCATCTTTCTTTGGTCTTTTAATCATTTGTTCCATTCCAAGTTCAATCATTTCTTGAATCAATTCTAATTTGGGTTGTTGACGTCGTTTATAATTATCGAGCATTTTTGTTAAATATTCTCGTCCAAAATGTTCTACTTCATGAAATTTTTCATCTAAATCAATTTTTTGTTGATTTTTTAATGTAATTTTATTATTTTCAAGTTCTTTCGGTGTTAGTTTTTCTATAATATATTTCTGATATTTAGATAAAAGTTCGTCCTGATTATTATCTGCATTATGTGATATAACTTTTTTTGCTTGTTGTAATTGTAATTGTTTCCATTGACTATTAATTTTTCTTGATGAAAAAAAATGATTTGATGTCAGAAAATGTTCAAGATCATCTTGTGATTGCAATAATGTTTTTAATTGTGATAGATGCGATTCAATTTGTTCAAGAACTTCATCAATCCATTGATGAAGCTTTGTTTCGCATACAGTATTTCGATCAAATTGTCCAGAAATAGATTTAATATCACGCTTTAAACGTCGACGAATATGCGAAAGAGATGTTAAACGTAAAAGATTGATTGATTTTTTTTTTGAATATTCTTCTAATTTACTAAAAACATAAGCTTCAACTTTTTGTCGTTGTTTATCATAATTATTCAAATGATGAATATGAGAATTCTCTGTTAACTCTATTGGATAGACATGACGATGGCCAGGTAATAAAAAACAACAATTATGTACATTTTCTGTTTTAGATACAAGTTTAACTGTAATAAAATGAAAAAAAAAACATAATACTATCATTGTTTTATAATAGGCATATATGAAAGAAAACTTACTGTCAGGATGCATGACGAAAAAGTCTTCGTTATTAACAGTAAAATGTGTATTGTACACTCAAAATTGAAAGAATAATCGAGAGTAAACAAAGCAAATGATGTTTTTTTTGATGTTTCACACCTTCTTTTATAGCTTCCTCTTATTATACACAATAAAATAGATGTTCAAAATTATGCAATACAGTTAATATGTTAACTAATTTATATAGCTATCGATAGTTGTTTTCATTTATAGTTAGAAAAGAAAAGTTTTTTTTTTACTTCCGATCATAGTTGCAATGACTAATGCTATAAAGAAAAAAGACGTCAACAGTAGGCGAATTTTAAGTTTGCGCACAAATGTTTATCAAACAAACATATGATGTCTTGGTAACCAACATAAAGTGTCGCAAGAAATGTATGAATTGATAAGCACAGTAATATTTACTTATTTGATGTGATATTGTTAGCAAATATCAACGAAAGTGTAAAAAGGTCTATTTCTTCAATAATGTAATATTTACTTGATTATATTTTTCAGCAAATCTTTATATGTTTAGAATCAGTTTTTTATTGTTAAAATGAATTATCGAATCAAACAAACGACAAAATTTTGAAAATGACATCATTTTTAACGTTTTCCTTTTCTCTTAGCTGCAGCTGATTTGCCCGATGGTGGCATTGGTTTTGGTTGCGTTGATGTTGAACTCGATGCACCTGTGGTTGGTTTTGATGAGGGCATAGATTTTTGAGCCCCTGTAGATGTTGTTATTGTTGTAGTAGCTGATTGATCAGACCCAACTGCACCTTGCGTGCCTTTACCAACAGCAGCTTGTTTACCACGTTTTCCTCTTTTACCACGATAATATGAACGTTCACGTAATGGTAACCAACGTTCAGGATCAGGTTTTGATGATGGATCATATTTCTTTGGTAAACGAACTTAAAAACAAAAAAATATTATTTTTTTTTTCTTTTATTATCAACAAACATGATGTAATAAAGTTACTTTTTCGTTTCCGTCTTTTCTTTTGTTTTGTAGTACTTATTGTTACTGTGGTAGTTGTTGTTGACCCTGAATCACCTACTTTTGCTCTTTAATAAGAAAAAAAAAAACAAAAAAAAAAGATATTTATTTAATATTTATCATCAGAAAATATGTGAATTACTTTTCAATTGTTTTTTCTGCTTTGAGTACTCGTTTACCAAATATTGATTCAAGCATATCAACATCAATACCTTCAGCTAATTGTTTAATTGATGGTAATTTTTGTGCTAATAAATTAGCTCGTTCAGGATCTGATTTTAAATAATGAACAATTAATTTTGATAATGTATGTGTATCATTTGGATAAAGTCTAAGCAAAAATAAAAACAAAATTAATTAATTTTAATTTAAAAAAAAAATTAATAAAACTAATAAATACTTATGAAGAATTTCAAGCATTTCAGTAACACGTTTTTCATTGCCTTGTTTTTCTTGATAAATTATATTTTGTTTAATTAAATAAGCAAGTGCACGTGAATTTTTTCCTTTAGTTCGATCAAGATTATATAAACGATCAACAGCTTCATTAAGAACTTGTGCAGCAGATTTTGAATCTTCTAAATAATTATAAAGTGTAACTAATGTTGCTACCTAGAGAAAAAATAAAGATTTTTACAAAAAAAAAAGAAAAAAGAACATTCATACAATTCCCGGTTTCACTAATAATTCTTCATCATTTTTTAAATAATCACATGCTTGATGAACTTTTCCTAAAGTTATATTTAAATAATAAGTAAATATTAAACATATAGAAATATTAAACCTTGTGAAAGAAGAAGTTGAACATATGTTAAACGACAGTAAAGTGATATGCGTTGTTGTTTACTATTTTCAATAAATTCCTAGGTGAAAATAAAAATTAATATTCAACCGGTTCTTTTTCCTGGTTTCTTTGCTGTGAAACACGATTTAAAAGAAATGCTGAAATATACAGCGTAGAAATTTCGATTCATTCTCCTCTACAAACATCACGAATTGTGACAGACTTATTGACGTTTGACCCCAGCTTAAATTGGCATAATTAGCTCTTATATAAAAAGCCTTATATCCTTAATTAGTTGCTACATTCAGTATTACCAATCAGTATGTATTTTCATTCAGATGTACTGCTCAGCAAGTTGTTATAATACTACATAGGACTCTACAAATATAGTATGTTTTGAAGTCATATTGTTTAACACTATGTACCTTCTACTAAGTAGTGCCAAATACAGCAATTAATTAAAGAAAAAAGAATTTTTATAGAGGTTAATGAGGTCAATTTAAGTTCGAACCAAAAATTCATAGAGCCGAAGTTTCAGCCTTCAGGACAGACACGTTAACGATCTATCGTACATCGGAGTAGGTCACCTAGCAATCCATCACAAACTATAATGGGTACCTTGGTAATTCTCTCCTTGAGACTACCAATAACGGGTATATCATGTTTCACATTTTAATCTCAGAGGGATTGCGCTAACAGCTTCTTTTTACTTGTAATAATTGAGTTGCTTCAGGTAATTTTTTTTCTTTCATTAATAATGATACTTTTGCTAATGGAATACTGTCATCAGTATCAGTACTTTTTTGTACCATTTTATCAAGAATACGTCGAGCTGTTTCATGCTACAATAAAAATGAATAAAAAGAAAAAGAAATAAATTATAGTTCATGTTTTTTTAATATTAACCTGTCCTGTATAAATAGCTAATAATGCTTCATTAACTTGAACAATTTTCTTTTGAAAAGCATTTAATTTTGGTTCAGTTTCCGGCGCTGTTGCGGTTTTGATACGTTTACGTGAATCAAATAAATTTTGATCACGATTCAATACAGCTAAATTATTCGATGCAACTGCAATAACAGCTAAATCTGTTGGTCTACAACATAGAAATGAATAATAACACGAAGAAAATATTAATAAATTATACTTTGATTTGAGTACATCATTGTAGAGTGTTAATGCTTCGACATTTTTATCTTGTTGTTGAAGACAATAGGCTAATTGTACTCTGAAATGTAAATAGAATAAAAGAGCGTTCATTTTTTTTGGAGAATTTACAAAACATGAAATGTCACTGCATAAAGTTGTGATGATAATTTGTAAGAATCAATGCTAGTAAAGGAAAGATGAAAGATCAACTGTTCTCAATGTCTAAATAGAACTGTAAGCTAATAAACTGAAATGTCATTGCTGTTGGCGCAAACAACTACTAAAAATATCAGTCGCTATCAATGATCATTCGTAAGTTAGTTTACATCACTCCCTCAAAATGTTTTAAATGAAGAACTTTATAATTACAATATTGACTACTACTTTTTCCTTGATTTAGAAGTATAGAAACTGTCACAAAAATCAAGAACTTTCTCGAAAAGAGCTTGTTTTTTCGAAAAATTCATCTTAGCTGCTAGAATCATATATATATACATACTCAATTGAAACCTAACTAAATCTAGAAAGTTGTGGAGATCGCGAACGTATTTAATTGAAATCAAGTTTGTGTTTTCAAGTTTCCATTGAAAAAAAAAGAAGTGTTTAAAATTATGCTTTTTGAGTAGTATATTTGCGTCAGTGTTTATTTGTTTTCGAATTTCCTGTGTTTCATAGATAATATATATAATGTATCAATGCTATATGATGCTGTTAAGTTTTGTTGATTGATATTTCAACCCAAATAAATGAACGATGTTCCACCTTCTGTATTCTCTGTAGTAGGATAATGGATGCCTTCTTTAGGACCTTAATATTCCAAAAATGTAAAATGTTACTTTATTTGTTTATAATAATATTAGTGAAAATCATTTTCTCATGCCGATGTGAAAGAAGTCATCGGGGCATACATTACAATACCAATAAGTGAAAATAAATATTCTGTCAAGTAAAAACAAGATAGGTAGACGCTATGTTTTCTTGATGCAAACGAAAATTAGAATATATTTCTAAATAGAAGAAAATTATTTCTTTGTTTTATGCTTTATTAAAAATGAATTTTGCCTAAGGTATATGTCAGAGATGGAGTTGATCTGGATTTTTCACGATCAGTACGAGTCTGAAATCTGAACTGCAGTGACCGATAATCGGTATCTGCCCCATCTTTGACGTATGTGTATCAGCACTTAGAGTCGTTAGTGAGGTAATTGCGCTAAAGAAAATGTATACGTCTCGGGACTCTGAATTTTGTTTTAGTTAATTTTTATGCATAATATGCATGTTGAATTATTTCAAATAATCTAGAAACCTCAGTCCTATAAATCTTGGTTTCTTCAATTTATTATAAAATAAGTAATGTTAGTGACATAATACAGAAAAAAAAGACAAAAGCTTTCACTGCTCGGGTTTTCACTTACAAATCCTGCGAGCTAAAATAAAATTGTTTTTGAAACTAAATAGTGTATTTTATGGAGATCTCTTCATATAAAGTCTTTTTTTTTCTAAACATGCTTAGGTTTTTCAGAAACTAAATCGGTTTTAGTAAGGCAATTATCGCAGTAGATCTTACCGGAAATTTTAGTTTGTCATCCGAAGTTTCTCTTGAAATTCTTGAACTTTTCTATTATCTAGTTAGAAATTTATTCGGCAATCACATTTTAATTAACTAACTAATCAACTTCTATTAGGTATGAGCTGAAGGAACCAATATTTTTATAAATGGTCATAGTAAAACAACTTGTTTCATATAAAGTAGTCCTTCTAAAGAGTCAAAATCAAATCGAAAATCGTCTTGTTCCATTTTGGCTAATTGTAGCCATATATATAATTCTTTGCTCAGAACGAATATTTACAAAAGAACAACATATCGAAATCGTACTTATCACGCAAACTTTTCCAATCATATTTTGTCTGACTGTTAAGCCGATTTCAATTGCAAGAAGATAGTTTCTAGCTGTACGCTGAAGAAAGCTTTTACTGTTTTTCAATCAATAGATTACACCGATTGGAAATTCAACAAAAAAAAAATTATGACAGAAGCAGAGACAATCTACTCGAAATGAAAAATTATCTGAAAATAAAGCATTAAGAGAAATATTGAAAGGAAGTTATTTTCAGCGTAACTACAATTTCTCATTTCTTATCAATAGAAAAAAAAGAAGAAGGAAAATAACAAAGCTGACTATTACAAAAGAAAAAACACAAGTGAACAAAAGAAATCATTTAGTAATTTTGTGATTTTCTTCTTGACTAACATATACTTCTCAAAAAGTTTCAGATATACAATCATTTTTATCAAATGCGTATTTACACATGTCAGTAGATTCTACATATATGTTTCAACTTCATGCCTTAGTGTTAGCCAATGTAATACGTTTACTTAAATATTCATCTATTCTCAACATTCATGAATATAAATGAAAATGCTAGCAATTGTAAATAATAATCAATTTGCTCGCGGAAGTTGTCGAAGTCGGAAATAGATGCGTAGGAATTTCTATTTCTCATTAATTACTCGCAATCTTTGAACCTAATAGAAACTTATATGTAGCTATATGACACTTGACAGTTGAAAGTATTTTTTTTCTCATTAACCGTTTATTTCATATGGATCTACTTAGACATTATGGTTTTCCTATTGCTCGAAAAAACGTTTGATGAAATGTATTTTTAGAGCAAAATAAAGGTAGAAGATGCAGTGACAGTCTTCCTGTTATGAAAAAAAAAAGTAATAGTTATTCCATATTAGAAAATGAATATTTCTTTATTAAATCATTGATTCAAACTCATGCACTGATTAATCTTCAAAAAACAAAAAAAAGAGAATATTTACCGAATATTTGCAGTTTCACGTAAGATTTCATCTTCAGTCATATCACCTTCTTCTTCTAATTCACGTCGACATTGAGCTAAATCAATCATAAATAATTCGATACGAAAAAAATATTTTCTGTATTATTAACCATCAGCCTTTCGAAGTTTTACTTCTGCTTCAACGTATTGACCAGAACTAAGAAGAACGCATGCTGAATTGTATGTTGTATCATATGTTTCATCACTTAGATCATTTGATTCCTAATTTAATTAATAAATAGAAAAAAAAAAAACTTTCTTTTTCTAATATTAAGTTAATTTATTATACCATTTGAATTTTGCTTGAAGGATCTGTTAATTTCCATGTTGCTAAAGCAGCAATAAAATTTGCATGACGTGTTGATTGATATTCATCTTGATTGTTTTTAAGTAATGAACGATAATATTCAACACATTCATTGTATTTTTCAAGTTTAAAAAGCTTTTAAAAAAATTAAATTATGAAAAACTTGAAAATAAAGAAAACAAAATTCTCAACAAACCACTTGAGCAAAAAGTTCTTGTTCACGTTCATTTAAATCTCTTTCAATACTTTTTAATGTATTATAAGCATCTTCAATACGATTAAGACGATATTCACAATAAGCACGTTCAAACAATAGATCTCTAAATAAAGTTTTGTTTCATTAAAAAACGAAGAAAAAAAAAAAGACTTCAAATTCATACGCTGTATCAGTTGCATTTTTAACAATTGTAGTTAATGCTTCATCAAATTTATCAAGTTGCATTAAACAGACTATCTTACAATGTGTTGCTTTTTTTTCATTACTTGAAATACCCAATACTAATTATTTAAAGTTAAAAAACAAAAAATTGTTTTCAATAGAAATTATTCATTAAATATACTTTTTCGTGTAGTTTTCAATGCTCGATCCCAATCTTGTGTTTGTCCATATTTTTGTAATTCGGCATACAATGGACGAAGTTGCTCGTCAATTTTTTCTTGTTTTTCACTTGTCATCTATAACATAGACAGAAAAAAAGATCAATCTTTTATCAATTGAAAAACAAATGATGTTTATTTAAAATTAAAAAGAAAATAAAGAATTTTATTTTTTTAAGAAAGTAATCCTCGATTAGCTTTTTGAGTAGCTCGATTTCGACGATTATGATTGGCTTGAGACGATTTATGTGCATCTTTCCAACGTCGATTATGTGTAACTGTGCCTGATTGGCCACGACCACGAGCATTACCAACAACATCATGTGTTTCTTCTGTATGTGATCGATGTGGTTGATGACGTTGTTGCCAAGCTGCTCGTTGTTGTGCTCTTCGTTCACGAACTATTTCAGGATTTTCAACAAATTGATTACGACGTTTAGCCTTTAAATAATTTACTTATTATATTAAATAGACATATATATATGAATAAAAAACATTACTTGACTTTCATCATTGTCTTCTTCTTCATTATCCATTTGTTGACGATAATGTTGAGGTTGTTTTCCCAATAATCTAATGAGAAAATAAAATCATTATGTCGAAAAAAGAAAAAGAATTTCATGAATGTCAAACCTATTTTCATTCTTTTGTAATTCATTATCAATTGTATCATCTTTATCTCTAACATCAACAATTCCATCATCATAAGTATCATCATATTCATCATCATATTCAGCATCTGTTTCATCCTCGACAAGACCTAGACGAGCATAACGTTCACTCATTTCTTTTACATGAGATTTGTCATCAAGATCTTCTGGTGCATCTCGTGTTCTGAAAGAATCAATATATATATATTCAAAAAATCCCATGAATATTATTATAGAAAATATTGTCACCAACTTTTTTCCTCGATGTATTCTTGTTAGATCAATATCATCTCGATTAAATAAATCAAATTCATCATTATCATATATATTTGAACGTTGTTCAAGTAAAGAAAAATCTTTGCTAGAGAATGGTTTTTCATTTGCATTTGTAATCTTCGATGAAGATACTAGTACTGATGTTGTACTTGATGGTTCAAATTTTAGATGTTCAGGCACAGTATTGTCAAAGAGAGCATTAACAAGATGTTCAGTATTGTTGTTATAATGATTAAGACAAGTCTAGAGAAAATAAAATGTTACAATTATTATTTTTTATTTCTATACATCTATGATGAACTAATGCGTTATTAATAAGATTCATCGGATTATTTTCCTGATTTTTGCTGATAGACAACTGTTAAATGCATTTAGAATTTATCACAATATCTTCTCATTTGTTGTTTATATTAGCACGATATGTGGTTTTCTTTGTCTATATGTAGACATTCGATTTGGACAATGTAGAACAGAAAAGAGAACCAATAACAAAAACATCAAGCCATCTACCAATTGTCATGGGTTACTCATTATAATTTATCATATCTTTTAGATTCGTGTTTATAACGCTTCATAACTTCTAGGTCGTTTTTTTTCATATATTTGGCACCTAACTATTCATATTCATTCTAATAGGAAAAAAACTAGAAGAACACAAGCAAAACAATACTCAAGAGAATCATGTCTATTTCATGAACGTGATCTTATTTTATTTTTCTGGTTCTGTTTTTTTTTCATGATACAAAACAGCAATTTCTTCATCTTTCTTTTTTTTACAATTATAACTCGAAAACCATCATATAACATTATTAAAAGATATAATATCCTTCTTTACAACTATACAAAAAATATCTGAACTTTTTCTCACTTCTATTTTTTTCTGCTCTTTTTGCTTCATTTATATTCCGTACAAAAAAAAAAAAAAAAAGATTTATATGTCTCTCGGTGTTTTTTCTTCTTGACAAACATGCGCACGTTTGCACCATAGTTGAGTAGGTAGCAATGATAATAATGATTGAATGCACTACTTTACGCATTTATATGTATTCGAAAAAAAAAACAATCCTTTTTGTATTCTTTCTCTCGTTTTTTTTTAAATGTATGCTTGCCATTTAGAAAACGTTCGCCATTTAATAAAAAGAATCTAATCTTAGACACACGAAAAAAAAAAGCAGAAAGAAATGGGTTCTAAGCCATCAATACCAGATTCAATTAATGTTGATGAAATTATAAGTAATACAGGTAAATGAATTTATTTTTTTGTTAAATCTCATAAATATAAATTATAATTAATTTAGGTCTTTCAAAAAAACAAATATCTTCATTATGGACTCGTTTTAATGAACTTGACTGTGATGATCGAGGTGAAACAAAAGGATATAAAGGTTATTTAGATGATACTGATCTTGGTCGTGTACCAAAATTTGATGAAAATCCAATAGCAACTCGATTAATAAGAGTTATTTTGGATGATTTTGGTACCAATGATAGATTAACATTTGCACAATTTGTTAATTTTATGAGTACATTTAGTCAATGTGAACGAGGTGGACATGAACATCATCATCGTCGTCATCACCAACATTATCATGGAAAACGTCGTTCATCAATTCAAACATTAACATCAAGTAATACGCCTCAAATAGGATCATCAACAGGAACTGTTCTTGAAAATGTAAAATATTCTCCAGATGATACACCAAGAACACGCAAAATTAAATTTATGTTTCGTGTATGATTGAATTAATTTTCTTTTTTTTTTTTTAATCATATATTATTAATTTAGATGTATGATATTGATCGTGATGGACGTTTATCAAAAGAAGACATACAAGAAACACTTAAAACGATGGTAAATTTAGAAAAAGAAAAACAGTTAAAATTCATATGTACATTTCGTTATTAATAGGTTGGTAAAATAAGTGATGATGAAGCATCGATTATAGCAGAAAGAGTTCTTGGAGAATTTACTGAAGAACAACCTAATTCAACTGTGGCACTTGAAACATTTGACGAAACACTTAAAACACTTGATTTTAAAGACAAAATGAGTTTAAAACTTTTGAAATAATCTTTTAGTTTCATTCTGTGTTTTTTTTTTCTAAAATTTTAATCAACTTACTTGAATATATTTTTCATCTAAATGAGGAAACAGATCTTGAATCATTTGAATATTAGTATTTGTTGATTTTTTTACTGAAGTACTGCTAGAAGCAGAAGCTTGCGATGACTAAAAATAGAAAAATACTTTACAAGAAATTGTTTATACAATCATTTAAAAAATATTAAACGTAAATGATTTTGATAATCTCTGCTTAGCAGAATTGAATGATACGATCTGTATGTGGCTCTTTCCGGTTAGTTTACGACTTGTAAACGGATCGTATCCTGGCCATAGTGTTGTATCATAATGAGATCATGGCTCATGTACAATCGTATTCGATAAAAATACAGTGCTGTATTACTGCCATCAGAGAAACAAGAAAATATAGTATGTTTAAGAGCCGTGCTGAACTATAAACAATCGTATACAACAAAATTACGATGAAAATACAGATCGAAGTATCACCATCTTCATCTTGATCATGACAGTATGTGGCGATGGTGACGTCATCTATTGACTTGTGAACCAGAGATGGACAAAGTCGCACCGCGCCTCCCCGCGCTTCCCCGCGCCGTTGCTCACGCCTACGCTACACTAGTCTGAGCTTCGATGAGCGCATGCTTAGAGCATCCCGGTATTCGGTGGAGTTTGAGAAACTGATTGGTAGAGCAAAGAGAAAGATAGATGTGCGTAGCGCCTAGGCGCGAGCAGCGGCGCGGGGAGGCGCGGTGCGATTTTGTCCATCTCTGTTGTGAACAGTGTGTAGTAGAAGTTGACAATGTCTAGATTATTAAATAGCGGAAGACTTTCCCTAGAAACCTACATATATACCTTTCTACAGTCAAAATTTATCAAGAAACTTATACGTGCCTCTATCTATTTCATTAGGGATCAAGGAAAATACTTTGTGAAGTATATGTGACTATTTTTCATAGGAAATGTTTATGTACATCATACTACTTGAGAAAAGATTATAAATTTATATATATATATATATGTCTGTTGCATTCCGAAAGGATTTTAAAATATTCACAGAGAATTCAATTGTAGTTTTCGAATACTTTCTTAAATAAAAACAAAAGAAAATTCAAACTTAAAGAGAATGTTCCAGTAAAAACTCAGTTTTTACTCTGATACCGACGTTGAATTTCTAAGATTTCATTATAGTTAAGTGATAGATTTTTGTAATTAATTTTATATATTTTTATTTTTCTTCTAATAATAAAAATTATCATGATCAAGAACTGAATAAGATAATGTTCATATCATGTATCTTTTATGATAACAGACTAGCAGGACTTCTAACTATGGAGTATTATTTTATTTCATCAGATATTTTTAATAAAGAGTTTCAGAGACTAGAAATTCTTAGAAGTATTCGTTTTTGAGGAACGTTTTTAAAATTATGTTACAAGAAAATCGTTTCAAAAAAAAAAGAGCCCTCATTTAACTCATATTCTAGGCATTTAGAGATAACGAATAGATGCAAAACGATTCAATTCGGTAGGTCTTCTTAATAGAATAATAGCAATTTTACTATTAAATAGAACATTGACAGAAAAATCGAACATAAGGTTTTCAAATTGAAATCGTGTCTGTAAGTCTCATCATCTTGAACATATCCGAAAAAATACTGTTTCTTTCTTAGAATAGTTAACGTCCAAGTTTTAGAATTATTTTTAAAATCGAATCAAATTTTGAATGTTGCATATCTTAAAATAAGAAGCAATTAACAACTTTTTTTTTCTTCTTCTAAACTACAAAATGAAAATAATTTCTTTGAAATTACTTACAGATATATTTACTGGTGTTAATTTTCGTTTACATGATGGTGTTCCATAAAGTTCAATAGCTTGTTTGACACCATCTTTATAAAATGTTATTTGTTGATCATCTCTAAATGTAATGAATAACATTTTTTATGAACATTTATATTATGTGTTATTTTTCTTACAAAAGTTCTGTTGTTTCATGAACAATATCAATAATTTGACAAAGACTAAAATAATCTTCATATGCAGCTAAAAATCGTTTTTCTGTTATTAATAATGAAAATATATTAATAATTGATTCAACATTTTCTGATTTATTTCTATAAAATAAATAGATGATTTTTTTTGTTTTTTTTCGTTTCAGTTAAAATAATCTTACTCATTAATAAGTAATGGATCAATACAACATGATGCAACAAGATCATTAAATAATGTTATAGTTTCATATTTTGTTTCTTCAAATATATCACTAGAAAAAAAAAAAAATGTAAAACTTGATTAAATCTTCAAATATAATTATTTTCTTTAATCTTACATATAATCAGATATTTCATTTGATTTTTGAGTTCGTTCATAGACACGTAAAAATGTTTCAAATAAATGAATTAATCTAAAAAAAGTAAAAAAAAAAAAAAAAACTTTTTCTTAGTTTAATTTCAATATATAATGAGCATACTTGCGTTAAATGAAAATCTTCATGAAAAAATATAATTCGTCCTTGTGGATAAACAGAAAAAAATCGATTTATTGTACAACTTAAATCAAGAATATAATAAAGTAAATCAATAATTTCTCCTATGCCAGATGTTTTTGTTGTTATATTAAGTTTCTTCGGACCAGTTTGAGTATGAAATATTGTTATTCTTTTTGTGATAACCTAAATTATTTAATCAATTTATCAATGATGATTATATTATAAAATAAATTCTATGCTTAGAATTAAATTTCTTTTTTTTTTCTCAAAAATTTGAAATTTTCAAAGCAAGAGTCCTTTGAATATTTGACTATACGCTTTAACTATTCGGATTTCTCATGAGGGAATCACCCAAAGTGATACCTCACATTTGAGATAAGACTTCAGTCATTATTTAGAGCCTGTTGAGAGAAGAGAAAACCTCAATAGATTCTTCCTCATATGTTGCTCTTTGAAGTTATGGCTATTATACTGGATTTTTTTATCTTTGGCATAGTATTTATTGGAACACTGAACAAATGAGTTTTCGCTCTGCATATACACAGCTCTTTTTATGTCATCGAAGTCTCCTAAAAATTTCACCCAATAAAATAGCGATCTTTTCTCGAAATATCAAATCTACAAATGACCATAATATTCCACTAGAATGATGAAAGATTTACTTCTTTTTGTGCATTTGATATCTCGAGAAAAAAAAACCTTTATTTTATTGGCTGAAATTTTCAGGAGACTTCAGTGATCTTAGAAATTGTCTATGTGCGAAATTTTAGGTAGTTCCGTCGTCAGTGAGACTAATACAAGTCTTACAGAACACCGATTAATTATTTCACTTTAAGAGTACTTAGTATTGTCTATATTAAAAAATTATTTTGTTATCTTATTCTAAAAATCTCAAATAAGAAACTCGTAACGTTGAATCTTCAATTAACTAAAATAAATTTCAAAATTTGACTGTACGTTTTTTTATTCTAAAACACAACACATGTAGGTTCTTCAAGCAAGCATACTGTTAAGATCTCAATAAAGAGCACTATCTCTGCTGCAAGTACAGAAAGCTACAATGAATTTGATGTACTATACTGAGATCTCAAATCTTCGTATGAGTTAAACCTGGTTTATCTCTTTTATGTGAATAGTATATCGAAGTGTACAAATTCAAGCACTCTTCGTTGTATGTTTGAAATAATTTCTGAATAGTATTAGATTAAAATGAATCAAAGTAATTGAGTAGCTGAAAGAAATTTCTATTAGGAGAGATATTTTTTTTTGTTCACGTGTGATGAAAATTTTTAAGGAAAAGATATTCTGCAAAACTAAGCGTTTCTCACTAAACTAAACTCGTGAACTGAATCTAAAGCATTTTGAAAATAAGTTCATACGACAGAACAAACATTTGGAAATAAAATGTCATATTCCCAAACTCTTTACGATGTTGTTTCAATGAATTTACTATAGTCCCAGAAACCTTTGATTCATTGTATTTTCAAGTTTTCTGTATTTTTTACCTCAGGATCTTTCATAAATTGAGTGCAGTCTAGTGCAAAAAATGTCATAGAGACTTCACTAACTTCTTATTTTGCTCAACAACATTTTCGGTATAAAATAAGTCTATTTTGAAACTTTTCAATTCGAATTCACAGAGCACTTTCTGAAAGGAAGGTCTTATTTTTGCTGAATAGAAAGTAAACAATTTCTGAATCAAAGTTTAGATCAAATGAATAAAAGAAATGATCTGTTCTGACTGTTCAAAAAAAAAACTTGTTACGTTTTGGAAACGGTATTCGAATAATAGACTAAAGGACTTTTTGAACACTTGAACTTGTTATTCCCAAAAAACAAAACACAAATCGTTCGGACAGATTAATAAAAGTTTTCAACAGTTTGTCATAATCAAACTAGAATTGAACTTGTCGATCTCTGCTAATAGAAAATTCTTTCGATTATTCAAATCTTTTTTTCTGATTCGTCCTAACTATTACCACTTAGCATATATCTCAACTTTTCGCCTTTACTTTATTTCCTCAAGTAAATATCATATATTGTTTTGCGTCTTCTCACAAGGGAATCTTGCCAGGTGCTAAAAAGCTTATTAGCTAAAATTTTATCCACGAGTTACAATATTGACTAAAATAACGATATTTCACTATAATTTTCCTGCAGGACCTCACTTTTGTCATACAATCAAAGTTTCGAGTTTTAATGTGAAACTGAATTTTTCAGAATAACCATGCATAATGCATTATTCATAACAAAGTGTCTTGACATTAACATACTGGTATATTACAGATAACTCAACCAAAAATTCTGAAATTTTGTAAGCAACTTTATATGAATGAAGTCTCGGTATGAGCAAAGTTTTTAATCGAAATTCGAAACTTTAATTTCAGTACAAAGATGAGGTCCTATACGAAAAATTATTGTAAACTTTTGATATCTCAGCCAAATCGTAACTGATGCTCTGACTTTCATCACTTGCAGACACAATTTAAGTTTAAAATCTTTTAAGATTTCCTTGTCAGTGTTCTAGTTTTTTAATTGACCTTAAATATGTAAATAAAACTATTTGTAACTCACATCTTTAATTGATTTAATAGCATCGTGAAGATCTTTCGTATAGGCTTCTTGTTGTTTAAAAATATTTCCAATCATTTTACTTAATAATTCTTTATTATTAACTGCATATAATGAACATATATCAAATAAACGAGGAATATCGAATATATAATTATCATAAATAACATGACCAAATCCTTGTGGTGTAAAGAAATTTTCCTATATTATTCATTTAAAATAACATTTAAGAACAAAAAACAAATAAACGTAAAAAATTTAAACATACTGATGATTCTTTATGTGTAGAAAGTCGAAGAATACACATGAATATTAAACGCGAAAGTTTCTCTTCTAATTCTTTACCATTTATAATAGACGAATAATTATTTATTGAAATAGTTCGTTGTGGTCTAAAATATTAATTTTATTGAAAATAAATAAAAATTTCAAAAGAAATATTTACCGTGGTGCATAACGTAGATAAGAATCAAGCATTGAATGAAAATCTTTATTAAAAGCAACCTAAAATAGATAACTAAATCTAATAAAAACAAAACAATTTTTTTTTTTCGATTGATACAAACTTCACACCAAAATTTTATATGATTTTGTTGTAATAACCATGTTAAATCATCACATATAAATGTCATTCGTTCAATCCATTGTTCAATAGTTGCACCATCTTCAATATTAGTTGGTAATGGAATGTATGTTACAAAATAATGTTGATCCATACCAGATGGATGCTACATAAGTAATAGAAAATATAATCAAAACATGTATTATTTTCTTTTCAAATTTACCAAAACAGGAATACGTTCTTCAATTATGCCTTTTTTCTCTAGCTTATATTGTTGATCCAATGGAACAGCCATACTTTGACTTGTAATTTCAATATCACTAAATTATATAAATCGGTTTTTCAATCTCACTCATACGTTTTCAATACACGAAATCTATCTTGCAATTAGCCAATAAAAATTCATTCTATGTACTCTATTTTATAATAAATTAATTTTCTTTTCAGATGAATATAATAAAAATTTTTATTTGAAAAATAAATTCAACTTTATTTTAATATTCATTAAACTAATTCAAACAAAGTGCATAAATGCTTTAATTAAATACATTTAATAACAACCAATCATAACTTTTTCTTTTTGCATTCTATTGCAAATAATTCGTTTGTAGTTTTGTTTGTTGTATTGTTTACATAGATTTTTTTCGGGACATGTGCCGTATCCATATACAAAACGTCTAGTTAATGTATAAAAGACGAAAAAAAAGAAAGTCAATCACTTATTAGTCATATATATTCACATACAAATCACTTATATTTTCTATATATTTCAATTAATAAATTTAGTCCTTGATTTCAACATTCACATCATTAGTAAGTATAAATAATATTTAAAAAAGAAAATTATTTTTTATAAGATGATACTTCATATAGTGATAAAAATTTTATCATTGAATTTCAACATTAAAAAAAAAAGAAGAAGACTAATGATGAAAAGTTTTAGTTACTTATCGAATGAATCTATCTATATGCATGTATTTCATGTTCTTCTCCGTTTTTTTTAATGTATGTCGGCTGTTGCTGTCTGTCTACATGCGTCCGAGCACATCAAGCGAATAAATACAAAGGCAAGAATAATCGTTTGACGATAAGAAGAAAAGAGAAAAAACTGCACATTGGTTGCATTTACTTTTTTTTTTTTTTTTCTTCTTCGTCGACATCAGAATGATTTGACAAAAGAAGAATCGACACAAAAAAAAGAGAGAAGAAAAAAAAAGAAGAAGACTCTGAAAACGAGTCACAGCTGGTTATTAGTTCCAATGTAAAACTATAACTTAAACCTTAATATTCAAATGAAAAACAAATGTTTTCAATAGATAAAAAAAAAAAAAACTTCAAAATGTTCTCTGTTGGAAACTGATCGAAAAAAAAGTATACATTTTCTATAGAGTGCACTATTGTGTTCTTTTCTTTGCGTTGTCAAATCTTTTTCATCCTACATCGTTCCTCTCATCCAATCAACATGCAATTCAACGTAGGTCAGGCATGCCTCATACACACGCACGATGCCCGAGATTGTCATTAATATAAATATATATATATATACATGTAGACGAATAGCTACCACCGCTGACGAGCTCGAACGAAGAGAAAACAACACAAGTTAAAGAAAAGAAAAAAAAAAAAAAAAAACGACTATCGAACTAAACCTTTTGATAGATGGAAGGAACGTATAGAAGGAGAAAAAGGAAGAGGAAAGAAGAAAAAAAAAAAAGCGAGAGACTCATGCGTTTTCTCTCTCACTATACGCATATGTAGCCAAAAGACATCACTGCACTCCTGGGGTAGGCTGTTGCTGCTTTCTCTCTCTCTCTCTCTCGATTTCTTTTTCTTTTTTCTTGTCGTTTGTTTTTGGGCAATTCTTATTCAGATAATAAGAATAATAATAAATAAAAATAAAAAAAAAAAAAGAAATAATTTTTGCTTTTTTATTTTCTAGTTTGTGTATGACAGTCCGCATATGTTCACACCGAAGATTATTATTACCAATGCAGAGTGATGTTTTAAACGAACAACAACAGCAACAACAACAACAACAACAACAGCAATTATCGAACGATACTGATTGTTCATCTTCGTTGTCAACAACTACTGCAACAACATTAATTTATTCGGGTTTAAAATTGGTTTGTAATATAAACAATTTGAAAATTTGAAAAAAAAAAAAAGTTTTTATTTTATTTATTTAGCATCCAAAACCACTTGTACCTACAATATCAATGCCCGGCGTGGCAAGTCCATTATCAATTGTTAAAAAATTATCAATTCGTATGTTTATTTTCAATAAATATTTATATTTTCTATTTGTTGTTTTTGAAGCTGATTCACATCTAGATAATTCAAATAATAATGTTCGACATACATCATCATCATCAAATTCTACGACAACAACAACAACACCATCATCTATTCGTCTTGTTACATCAACAGGTAAATCATCATCATCATCATCACCAACAAATTTACAGTTTCAATTAACTGATAAATCATCATCATCATCATCAACAACAACAAATGGAGGTTTTTCAACATCAAAAACTTATATATTAAATCCTCAACAGAGCAGTACAACAACAGTAAATAAACAACAAATACTGTCAAATTCAACATCATCATCATCATTATTAACATTAATACCACCAGGTACAACATCACCAAAAATTCAAACATTAAATAGTGTAACAATATCATCTACAAATGATATGTCAACAACAACTGATAAATTATCATCAACAAATACAAATCAATCAGTTTTTTTATCAAAAAATCGTGTTACACTTGTACAACCAATAATAACAAATGCAACATCATCATCAGCAACAACAACAATTACAAATTCATCAAATAATATTAAACAAACAAATAATATTACACCTAAATTAGTTATTCAACAAAATACAAATTCATCAACAACAAATACTAATTTTTGGCAACAACAACAACAACAACAACAATCAACACAAGCTACTAAAATTTGTAAATAGTTAACTTAATTAGATTTTTTTGTAATTGAAAAAAAAAAATTTTATTTTTCTAGTTTCAATACCACCATCATCTATTCTACCGACAGGTATTTTATTCATTTTTTTTTTTTTAGTTATCTATTTGTTATGATAATTCGTTTAAAAAAAAAAGAATATGATTGTATTAAATCAGAGATGAAATTGAACTTCATTATGAATATTTATTTGATCAAACACAAAAACATCATGTTAATATATTTTATCCTTTTTAAGATAAAAATTTAACATGTAGTCTATATTATTAAAATGCTGAATTATTATTCTATGAGTATAAATATCATTCAATGACATTATTGATTAGTCATTCTATGTAATTCATATATTAAGACATTGATGACTTCACTTAGATTTGTTTTGATTGGATGGGAATGTTTCAAGTATAAATATTCATTAATTCGTATGGATATCTATGAAGAAAATGTCTGATAAATCATAGTTGTTGATGTATGAAAATTTCTTGTTCGATAATATTTATCTGTAGTTTTTCCAAGAATGTTTTCAACTGTTTTTCTTTTTTAAGATTTGCAATTGTTATGAGTGTTTCATTTGAAACTCTAAATAATCATATTTCGAAATAAAATTTTCTTTATAGATAAGCCTTATAATCAACATTTGAGTCAAAATAAATTTATCAGTTCATATCCTTCCTTTATAATATAATCTAAATCATGTATTTATTTAAAATGGAAATATATTTTAGCAAACATATGTTGTTCGTTCTAACTTTAAAAATCAAAATTTTTTATTGTTTATCATGAACAATCATTTATCTATAGTCACAATCGAAAAATGATTAGTATATTCATTTCAGTATTACATAAATGAATTATTTAGAATACTTTTAAGGTTATTTATCATACTCAAGCTTCCCATATTATTTCTATTAAATAAAAATATTATTTTTTGTATTTAGCTAAAATGCTTTCACGACCAGTACAATTAATTCCAACATCAATATCATCTTCCGAACATCATCCTCATCATCATCATCATATAACACATATTAAAAATGAAAAAAATGATAATACTAATACATATCCAATTAGTATGCATTTTGGTTTATCATCACCAACAACAATTGAAAATCCTTTAACACCATTAAATGTTCAAGTTCCACATCAACATTCATATTCAACAAAAAATTTTGATACATCCGGACATCAAGCATATATACATATGCAATTATTACCATCAACATCAAATTCTGAATCAATAAATTCTTCACAACAATCAGTACAATTTACACTTCCAACAACACATATTTATTCATCATCACCATCATCTGTTCTTATATCAACAACACAACGTTCAATGGATCATAATAATAATCATCAATCAACAACAACAACAATAACAACACCAATTATTCGTGAAATGCAAACTGATGAAAAATTAAATGATTCAACAACAACAATTAAAAATTGTAAATTAAATAAATATGAATTAAAATTTTTATTATTTATATTTTTTTCTTTATAGTTCATCATAATAAAATTTCAACAAAAAATCGAACACGTCTTCCTTTACAACCATCAATACAACAATCTTCATCAACATTAACAACAATACCAATAACACCATCATCATCAACAACAACTATACGACAACCAAAAAAACATAAATTAAATGAAGAGTAAATATTTAAATTATTTTTTTCTCTCTTTTATTATTTTTTTTTTCTTACTTTTTAGTGAACAAATAAATTCAATAGAACCACCAAATAAAGTACCTCATTATGAACAGTTAGATTTATCAACAAATATTAAAAAATTTTCTAATACTCGTAATCGTCCATTATCAAAATTTTCTATTGAAAATACAACACCAACAACTCCAATTATATCAACAATTAGTCTTGATACAAGTGGATTAACAAAAAAACGTCATTCAACTGAAACATCAAATTCAACAATATTATCACGTAAACGAAGAACAATTACAAAATTAAATCAAGAATTAATATCGAATGAAAATATTAAACAAGAATCAATTATTGATCGATTAAATGGAACATCGTCTGATATAATTATAGATCAAATTGATGATGAACTTCTTAAAAGACTTTCACAAGGTAAAATAAAAAATGATATCAAAAAATTTTTAATGAATTTTTTTTTTTTTTTCATTTCTCTTTAGATTTTGTTTATATTGATAAACAAACAGGTATTCGTTGGATTGGTACAAAAACTCGACCAAAATCAATAAATACACTTGTATCACGTTTTTCATGGAAACCAAAAATAAATCATTATGAAAAATATTCAGATATTATTCGAACGAGTATAGAAAAACAATTTGTTTTTTTTTTTTTTCTATTGTATTTTAAAATTATAACTTTTCTTTTTTGTATTATTTAATTAGATGCAAAACGAACTGTACCTGTAAAAAGTCTTGATATTATACAAAAAAAAATAACACAACCATGGGCATCATGGCGTATTGATCGATTGACAACATATCTATCGGATCTGGTTAGAAAAATTTTTAAGAATAATTTTATTTTTAAAATAAACTTTTTTGATGCTTTTTTTTTTTAGACAGAAGATGAGCAAATGACGCAACATCAATTGTCAGATATGCTTCAATTATTAAATATTGGAGATGAATCAATACGAACAACAGTTGAAGATTTAATGCAAGTAAGAGAATTAAAATGAAATTAAATATTTTAATCGAAAAAGTTATTTATTACTTTGAATTAATAGAGAGTATCGAACATACTTGGAACCGGACCGGCCGGTCTGCCGGTTACTGATCCGGTCCGGTCTTCACCGGTTATTTTAAAATTTTTGGCAACTAAAACTTGCTTATTTTGCTCATTTTTAAGAATTTTCATGGGGTCAAGAGATTTAATCCGGAAAATTTCTCACTGGCAAAATTTCAATCGTATTGGAAATCGTAGCTCTAAATATTCACCAACACTTTCTTATCCTTTCATCAGAGGCTCATATTATGACGAATGAATTCATTATACTCATGACAAGTTAGCTCGATTTTACAAGCTACTGTCGATTTAAATTCAACATTTTTCTTGAAATTTTGGATCATTCGTATGCAGTAATCTTAGCTGATTTTCATAGAAGCTCAATAGCCACCAGTATTCAAGTTCATGATTTCATAGCAAAATGTTTTGAATAAAATCTTTTCTGCTATCACGGTCTTTCTAACTAGTAGCATCATGCAACCGCGTTAATATTTAGGTATCAATAAACCTCAAATAGGAAGTCTAATGTATAAATTTTACCGATTAGCTCACATTATCTTTCTCTCTACAGTAGCATTCTTCTGTGAAGTGGAATATATTTCAGCTGTGATAAGAAACTCAGTATTTCAAATAAGAATAGACTAAACCTATCAATGGTAAATAAATCATATCATTATTTGAAAAGACTCAAAGAATAGTTAGCTAGTGTTCAATTCTAGTTACTGTGAGTCCTAGTCAAAACTTTTTGAAAGATATCTTCATTGCTTCTGAATATTAGCATACTAAACATGACAGACTAAAAAAGAAGTCACTGCTATTAGAAGTTTCAAGAATTATATGAGTTTGATATTATATGTCTTAGTAGAGCTAAATTAACAAACTGTTTCGCGAAAACATCGATTGTTTAGCTAATACATGAGTGCACTGCTTTTTTTCGTCAGGTAAATCAAGAATTTGGACCAGCCGTTTTTTCGCTGGTCAAGTCATAAACTTGAACCGACCGGTTTTTCACTGGTCCAGGCAAGAGTTTGGACTAGGGGTGCAACAAACCCAAAGCCTTGGGATTTGGTACAAAAAGATTTGGGTTTGTTCTAGGCTGGGATTTGGATTTGGGTTTGGGTTTGGGTTTGGTCTTAAATCACCCAAATATGACGAGACTTTGTAAAATAAAGTCCCAGAAGGGAGAAAAGAATCCCAAGTCTTAGAAATTAATATGAAATGGATTGGATTTGGTATAGATTTGGGTTTTGGGATTTGGATCTTAGATTTGGATTTGAGATTTGGTGCATAGCCGGTTGGGATTTGGATAGGATTTGGGTTTGGAATTTGGATTTGGAGGTTGAGATTTGGTTTCAAATTAACAAGACTACAAAGTTGGAGTCATGTTAGATTGAAACCAAATCCCAAGTCCAAATCCAAATCCCAAATCTCAAGCATATCACCAATTCTGAACCCCAAATCTCAGCCAAACAAAGCGATAGCAGCAATCCTGAGATTCAAATCTAGACGAAATCCACATCTAGGAACTAAATCCGAACCATACCCAAATCCAGACACCAAATCCAAGTCCAAATCTCAAAGATTTGGTGCCAAATCCCAAATCTATTCAAGATTTGTTGCACCCCTAGTTTGGACCGGCCGGTCAGATCTGAAAAAATCAGACTGGTTCCAAGTCTAGTATCGAACAGATATGAGGTATGGGAGATAATGAGAAAAAAAATTTCTCAAACTAGAATTGAAGTTTATAATCAAATATTCTATGATTTTAAGCAAATTATCTTTTAAATTAGAATACATTTGAAGAGAGTAATCGAAAATAGTACTAATTATTGACTAAGTAAATCAAATAGATGAGAAATTTTTCATATACTAGAATAAGAATTGAACAGAAAAACCTTGATATAACAGATTTCTATTGATGTTTTATTAAGGATTGAAGAAATACACATTTTTATTTAGAAAGCATATTGTTCATATCTTGAAATCATTCTTATGAGAAACAATTTTCATAATTCTTCCTCGTAGAAAAATCAAAAAGTTCGAATAAGATTATAAAAAATACAACGGATTTTCTTTTTTTATTGAAGTTCATCTAGAAATGTGCAGTGTTGGTATAAATACTAGATTCTGTCAAGATCCGAAATTTTCGGGTTAGAATCTGATTAAGAGAAAGATTCCAAACACGAACTAATGCGACGTATTTCAGTAAATACTGAACAACGTCGTATCGACACATTGTTTACTAAAGCATTGACATTCACGTTCGTCATAACATCGAAATATCAATATATTGTGTTTTTGTAGCAATGTATTCCAGTACTTCAATGAATACTGATATACTACACTGCGTCAGCAGGTTTTAAACTGATACTGTAATCGTTGAATTCAACTGAAAAATTTCTCTAAGTATAGGAAACGTATATCATCATGTTGATGATGATTTTAAGCAAAATAAAAATTTTTTTTTTTTGAAATTCAAAAGAAAAATTCGTTCAATTGTGTTTCTTATACACTCCTAGTTATGCTTGAACATGCTAATGTGCAGTTCTTGAAAAATTATCTTGTCATTCTAAGATTTTTTTCAAGTATTATTTTATATATTCATTTCCGATAATATGGAATCATTTTTTTGTTTGTGCTGAACAAATGGTGACAAGTTAATTACAATGAATTGATGATAAATGAATTTAATAAATATGTTCTTTTTTTAGGCTAATATTCAACGGCATCGTTGTTTTTATGAACAATTAACACAAATATCCAATTTACTTGTTAATTTACTTGATCATGGAAATACTTTACGAGATATATGTTCTGTATCAAAAACTTCAACAACAAAACGAACTAAGGAACGATAGCATATATTCATATTCTTATAAATATTGTTTGTTTGTTTGTTTTTTTCTATAAAATCTCATTGGGATGTAATTTGAAATATGGCTTTGTTGATGCAATAAGCTTTTCTTCTTCTGTGTACCGGTGGATGTTTTTTTTTTTTTGTGTTTTGTTTATGTGGAAAAAAAAAGACATATGAAGAAAAGAAAATGTATGTTTATTTGAATGTCTGATAAAAAAAAAAAAAAAATTCTACTGATGATTAATGATGATGATGATGACACAGAGATAGAGCGAGTGAATTTCATTCCGGAAATTTCTTTTCTTTTTGTTTTTCTTTTTCTATATTCATTGAACAGTTTCTCTTTGTTTGATATCAAACACGAATAACTTAAGAAAAAAAACAAACTAAATATATGAATATTCTCGCTGTTCTTTTTTCTGTATGTATATATATATATATATATATAAATATTATATCTATTTTGACATGGAAAGTCATTGTGTTTTTTGTTGTTACTTTTTTTTCTCTCGGTATGATTGAACCCTTTAATATGTGTAACTTTTTTTCTTGTGTGTGTGTAGTATGTCTTTCATGCGACGAATTATTATTGTTTGTATGAAAGAAAGCTAAGAGAAAACGAACGCAATTATGCGTGTTTGTATATATATATAAAAGAAAACATAGATAAAGATGATATAAGACAAATTTTAGATTTTAAAATTAACGACAGAGAAACGAAAAACAGAAAAATTAAAATGGATACGATTTCAATAACTGATGGAATTCCACAAAATCCAAAGTATGTTTTTACTTTGATTTTGAGGGGAGTTTATGTTTTGTGTATCTTGTTTTTTTTTTTTTTTTTGTTTACTTAAGTGAAGAAAGATTTAAAAAATTAGTTAAAAAATTTAAAATAAATTATAATGGAATTCAACCACAGTTTCTTTGTCGTGCGCCAGGTCGAGTTAATCTTATTGGTAATATGAAAAAAATCTTATAGTGAAGTTTTTAATGAGATAATTTCTTTTCTTTAAGGTGAACATATTGATTATTGTGGTTATTCCGTATTGCCAATGGCTATTGATCAAGATATTGTATCCGTCTTTGCTACATGTGATAATAATGAAGTACAAATCAATAATACCGACGAATCATTTAAGTAAGATACGTCAAATAAATTCTTTCAACATAAAGCTCTTTATCGTATTTTTTAGAGCTGGTTCATTTAACATGGAAAATTTTTCTATTTCATATGAAAAATCTGATTGGTACGAATATTTTAAATGTGGTATTCAAGGCATTCGTGATAAATTTCCTGATATTAAATTAAAAGGTATTAAAAAAGATCGTGATGAAGAAAATTTTTTATCATAAAGACATACAGTCAGTACCAAAAGTGTTCAACAAGATTTATTTTCAATTTTTTTTTTTCGTTGTCGTAAGTATTGGAAAGAATCCAATAAATGATCGTTTGGAACAAGAACATAAGAAAATAAAAGCTATTATGAGATTCGTAAAGATAAAGACTCCAGAAAATCCAAACTCTAGTTGTTGTTAGTACCTAAAATGTTTAAATATTATTTTTCTTAGAGTACATACAACGATAGAACAAACTAGACTCTACAAAATGAAACGTCTTCGAATATTCCGTAACATCGTTTAGTTCAAATACAGCAATTTTACAGAAGCTCCTGAAGTCGTTTTTTTTTCCAATTTCCTATAGAAACACCTTTTTTTTTTGACCTTCACTTAAATTACTGTCTGTTAGACAAAAAAATGGTACAGAGAATTCGAAGACGTTTGATTTTGTATAGGATGATTGGCGCTATCGTTCTATACAGTCTAAATCAAATTACATTTACGTATTCTAGCTGCTGAAAAGCTAAGGTTTTAGTTTTCTAGAGCTCTGATCTTTGAAAAACTGATAATGATTTCTTGTTTCCTTATATTTGTTTTGGAAACAATTTTGTCTACTCGAATTACTATTCGGAAGCTTTCTAGCTATTACGACAGCGACAAAAATAAACCTTGTTGAATAATTTTGACGCTCACTATAAGTCTTGATTATTTTTTTCCAAAAATCAAATTTCGATAAATTTTTTCCATAGGTATGAAAGTATTGATTGATGGAACGATTCCACGTAGTGCTGGTCTTTCATCCTCGTCAGCACTTGTTGTTTGTGCTGCTTTGACAACAATTGTTGCTAATGGAATTAATATTAGCAAGGTTTATATTTCAAATCTTTTTGTTCGTTTACTTCTAATGTTATTTTATTTTTTTTTCTAGAGTGATCTAGCAGAACTCTGTGCTGAATGTGAAAAATATATTGGTACACAAGGAGGTAAATTCAATTAGAATTTATGTATTTGAATTGTGTTGATAATTTTGTTCTTTTAAAGGTGGAATGGATCAAGCAGCGTCTTGTCTTGCACATAGTGGTTCAGTATGTTTTATTTTGTTTCTATTTAATTATCTATTATTCTTATCATAAAGGCAATGTTAATTAGTTTTAATCCATTGAAAATTCAAGATGTAACTTTACCAGTTGGTTGTGCTTTTGTTGTAACACATTCATTAACTGAAGTTAATAAAGCAGCATCAGATCATTTTAATACACGTGTATCTGAATGTCGATTAGCGACTCAAGTATTGATGAAAATTATTGTATAATTGGTTTTTAATTCGATGTTTTTTGTTTGTTTAAAAGATATTAGCCCATGCAAAAGGTCTTGATTGGCGTTCAATTCGTAAACCATATGAATTACAAAATGCTCTTGGTTTTACAATAAATGAATTGGAACAATTTGCAATAGATACACTTCATGAAGTACCTTATACACTTGATAAAATAGCTGGTTTATTAAATGTAACTGTTGATGAATTAATTAATATTAGTTTAAAAGCCAATATAAATCGAGGTAAGATTAAATGTTTTTTTTTGAAAATAAAATTTTGAATTTTAAAATAATTTAGAACAAAAATTTGAATTATGTAAACGTATAAAACATGTTCTTAGTGAAGCTAATCGTGTTTTACTTTTTAAACAAGTATGTGATTCAAATACACATGATCGTCTTGAAACACTTGGAGAACTAATGAATCAAAGTCATAATAGTTGTGCAAGATTATATGAATGCAGTAGTAATGAACTTGATCAATTAACAGATATATGTCGGTGTGTATATTTGATTTATTGTTTTTTTAATGAGAGATACAATGAAATTTATTTTTAGACAAAGTGGTGCTTTAGGATCACGTCTGACAGGCGCTGGATGGGGTGGTTGTGCTGTTTCACTTGTACGACAAGAAAATCTTCATGAATTTATTGCAAATGTACGCGAGAAGTTTTATATTAATAGTAAAGATACGAAACGTGTTAATAATGCTGATCAAAGTATTTTTCCAACATTACCAGGATGTGGAATTTATGCCGTACGATTATAAACAGGAACTTTATGAAAGAAATATTTCTTTTTGATTTATCTCAGTGAAAACTGATTCTTTTAGTGTTTTTTATTCTATTTGATTTGTTATTCTATGGTAATCATTGGTGATGATGTTTTTTAATCGTTATTATTTGATGTACTTTTAAAAATTTATTGTAATAGTGAAAGTGCAACTTCGTTTATGATATCGTACGAATAAAATTTCCAAAAAAAGTAAAAATAATTTTAAATTAACTCTTGTCTAAGGATATACAAGGATGTGACAAAACTTCTGCAAATATTCAAGCAAAGAAATAGCACATGACCCTAATCTTCATGTCACAAATAATAAAATTTAATTCTTGATAAATTCATACTAAACTTAATTTAAAATAATGAAATAGAGAAAACTTTCTAAGCTGCCTTATATCATGTTTCAATGCATGCCATCCATGTCGTCCAAAATGCTTGGATATCGCCAGTTAATCAGAGTTAACCATGATTCTGTGGTTTACTTTTTGCTTGTATCTCAGTACACGAATATTTTTAAATGCGTAGAAAAATGTTATATTTCAGTCCAAATGGCGTCTCTAACTACTATGAGCGTGCTCTTCAGCCGCCTGTGTCACACAATCGGCTATTGTCGCTTAATTTTTGAGTTTCATTATTATAATATCTAGTAACATATTACAATAGACTTTTTTGAGTTGAAATCGATCTCTTCAAGACTGACAATACTAATTTAATAGGAATATTATAATAAACTTGATAAACAAGGAATGAAACGTTGAAACCATCGGTTTTGATAACGAATTGCTAGCATGAAGATCTACTTCTCGTATCATTTTTAGTGATACATTGTTTTTGTGTAAACAAATGTTTAGTTTTCTAGAGTGTCTCGAGGTCTCTACAATTGAGAAGTCATCGTCCTAGTCTACCGCTGCGGATATCCATGTTAGTTTTTTTAAAACATAGTTGTTTTTAGACGGCACTCGAAAGATTCGATCGAGCATATTGAATGTGACGATTTTTAATACGCTATTATTTTGATTCAACAAACAGGCATGCTTTAAGAAAGACTATATTTTTTTCATTGAGTTAATCTTTTTCGAAACAAACAATCCTTCAACGAGTAACATTTATGATCGAATCAAGTCTATTTTGGCAGAATATTGTGGAGAATTAACACTGCTTCTCACTTGAGCATTGAATAAAGTTTCCAAAAATGAGATAGTTGGAAAAGTTCGAATATTGTAAAAACAAAACAACAATGCTCTGATTACAACTGCTCAGATAGATAGTAAATGTAGACTGTTATTTAAAATTGACAGATAAGTCTCAAAACGTATTAACGTAAATTACAATGACAAATACAAAGATTTATAGATACTTCCTTAGAACTTGAAAAGAATCTTGGACATATAGAAATAATTTGTGAGGTTGGAAATAGAAACGGTGTGAGGATGCATGTCCTATTTTTAACTTGACACATCATCCTCACTCTTATCTCTATTGCATTGTATAGTTTTCAATATCATCTTTAGGATGCGAGCTAAAAAGTCACTGATTTGTTTGGACTCGACAGTAAGTGACGCTGTCTCATTTAAATGAAGAGTAAGGATTGATGTTCACGTGTGTTACCAACTTGTACCCTATGCGATTTTGGCTTACGTTCCTATGCTTTGAACTATGCTCTAAGAAGCATGATCTGTGGTAATCTTCATTTGGTCATTGGACTTGATCTAAGAAGAAAAAATTTTGAAACCTATCATTTAACGGAGGCTCATATATCTTGAGATTATCAAGATATTGGTATAGCATTTTAGTTGCATGTGAAATATATTTCACTAACTTTGATTTACTATAGTACTTCAGAAAGCATAGAATCTATAACAGTATTGTAGAAGATTATTTACATTTTACAAAAGTGAAAGCTCACTTTACCATTTTATATAGTTTATTCTATGAAGAATAGAATATAATGACTGACAGCAACAAGTATTAACAAGCCAGTCTTTTCTAAAGAGTCATTTGAACAATATTCAGTCACATTTATGCATCACCTAACAAAGCCTATCATTCATTGTTACGACAAGAACTACAACATGCATATGCATTAAATCTTGTGTAGTTAAATACAAGATGATTCGTTGTGTATCAGTATAAATAAATGATCTTTGTTATTTCTTCACTATCTACTTACGAATGGTATTTAAATATGAATGTCGTAGTACCAGTATACTGTTCATTGCCGACATTAAAACTGATGTTCATTGTCACACTGCTGATACTTGTACTAGCGTTCATTGAAACATTTATAAATCAAAATAGAAATTAGAAATTGAGGAGATGCATTTCGATGAAGTTAGTCTTATTAGTAAAACTTGCAGATGGCTCAAATTGCTGATATTTCTCGAAAGGATAGATATGGTCATTTCCATACTTTTGATTCATAGTTATAGGTAAAAGCACCAATGTCTGAAAGTTTTTATAGAATCTTTGTGTCAATTTCAGTATAGTAAATGTTCCAATGAACTTAGGAGAAAGTCTATCCAACTATTGAATGGCGCTTGATGTCATATATTGTTTATATACAAAACACAATGTGACTGAAAAAACTCTAAAAAGATTTGGACCCATACGCTTCCCCGTCAAAGTAACAAGAGAACCTACATTCTTTTTATCGAAAAAGAAATTTCGGTGGGTTTCGACGTCGACTAAACTTTCTGGCTATTAATCATGATCTATCTTTTATCGATTTAGTCTTAACCGAGAAATAAGCTGAATAGATGTATAAAGTATTAATAGCATGGAGCAACTCCCAATATACGAACGATTCTTGTATGGTAATAATCCTTCCTCTCAAAATAAAAACTCGAGAACTTCTATTGCGAGCTAGTATTGACTACCGTTTATCTAGAAAATCAAAATTTTTTGAAAAACTTTTCTCATATTCAAGTAAGCATTATTAGCAACTCGGTGCCACAAAATCAGAGATTTAGATATTAAAACTTTTCAAATTCATTGGACTTTCTAAAAAAAACGACTTTGGCAAACCCATGGTCTTCTATTATGTCTTATGAAATTTTTCTTGTAGGTGGTCTTCTATTCTAGGAGAGATTTAGTACATATCGGTCAGTTCTAGCTCACGAATGCTTCGGAAGATATCACTCAGTACTCTTTCTGTAAGATTCAATTTTTTCTTAAACGGAGAAGGATATCCTACTGATTTTTGTGTTACTAACCTAGTCTATGAACTTGAATAGAATGCAACTTTGTGTTATACCGAACAATTTTCATTCATTTATAGCAAAAGCCAGAATTTAAAATGTTGTTATACATCTAGTGTGAAAGGTATCTGTTAGTTTTGTGTAAAATCTTTTACAGTTGTAAAACCTATCAAACAAACTTGTTCTATTTCTAAAGCTATATTTCTCAATTATTCAATTAAATGTCTTTAAATGGAATTTCCATTAATAAATAGCCAATGATTTTAATATCGTTTTAAACAAAACGATAAGTAGTCTAAAACATTTATTATCGGCAATTTTCATTGCTAAAATTTAATCTGAAACTAAAATTAAAAGTATAATTTGAAAACTCTTGACATAATGTACAACTCTAACTATAAAACTAATTTTAGAAAGCTTCGCTATTTAATTCAAGCAACATTGTTTCCTCTCGAGAAGTTAGAATCTGCTTTTCAATCCCTTTACTTCAAATTAATACAACAAAAAAAGATTGTTACTCTTTTTTTAATAAATAAATTAGGCAATATAAGTGAATCATTTCAACAAAAATGAAACAACTTTACTGTTTTTGAATATCACAACTAAACTAGAAAAGTATATTGCAGTTATAATTTATCAGCTCTTGTTTATGAAAATAGTATTTCAGTTTTCATTTGTATAGTCCCAATCACAATAAACACTCTTTTATAGTGCTATCGACTAACATCTACTATTTTTTTTTTTGAAAAACGTCAAAACTTCCAATCTAACATCATATTCAAGTATTTTGAAATTCATATACCATAAAAGCATGTGATTTATTCACACATCATTTCTTGTTAAGGATGATTTAACCCTGAAAAATGAAAAAAAGATGAAATTTTCGACTGTGTTGTAGTCATTCTTTTCTTTTTTTTTCATTACATTTTCAGTTTGTCTTTTCGTTTATTTTTGTTATTTGTTTGTCTACAAGACATATTACATATGAGTATAGTTGTTTCATGCCATCAACGAGTGCCGGTATTGTAAAGAAAACATTCACAATTTTCAAGTAATTATTGTTGTCAATATGTCAAAGTAAGCGATCAATTTGAAATTTTTTTTTTGCAACCAAAATATTTCAAGAAAAAAAAAAGAAAAAGACAAAATAATGATGAACATAGTTTTTGTAAATTGAGATGAACAAGGTTATAGTTTTAATGAATGGAGCAAGAAGAAAAAAGACAACTTCTCTTATACAAATAAGGTAGCATTAACATGGCACAAACTTTCACACCTTCTGTTTTTTTTTTTATTCGTTTTGATTGATCCTTTATACAAATTCTTCTTGCTTCCTCTCTCTTTCCTTTTTTGTATGTATGTTCATATTATACATTGATTGAGCAACATCTTTCGTATCTCTGTGTACATACATTTTTTTTTCCTTCTTTTAAATGAACGAAAAGTGACACTCAGTATAGTTGGTTTTATTTTCATTGTTGTATACCTTCATTGACGTGCCAGTTACAAAAAAAAAAAAAAAGAATTGCTTTACAAAAGAAATTAAGATGTCAAATTTTGTTAATAGGTGGTTGGTGCACGAATATAGTGAAGAAGAAGAGGAAGAATCGTAAAGTATTGACCAGAACAATTTAATCTCATGAAAACTACCAACATTGATTATTATCAACAATCATTCACATATGTATACAAAAAATCGACGAAAAACTCATACAGAAAATATGGAAATTACTACAGCAGAAAGAGATACTGGTGAAGAAGACGATGAAACGAATAAAAAACATTATGAAAAACAAGAAATTAAAGCATTAAAAGGTAAAGGACATAAACAATCCCGAGATTTATTAACAACAACAAATGGTGCATCTTCATTGTCTAATCTTTCATGTAAGATATGCATTAAATATGTTCTTATTATCATTTGATAAATACTCTTTTCTAAATGTTAAAATCTACTATAAAAACATTCAAAATCAACTTAAAAGTTAAACATTTTCTCACGTTTGTAAATGCTGTCAATGAAACATAAACAAAAAAATACTTTTTCACAAAATAATATAATTTAATTTCACCGGCAAATCTCTTATATTCTCTGAGTGAACCTTGGTGTGTCCCAAGGTCTCCACTCAGCAAGTTGATTGAAAGACTTTTGCTAGAGTTGAGCGAATTTCAGGAGGAGAGAGTTGCGTCTTATTTTGGAAATCGGTGAGCAAAGAAAAAAGCAATCAAAACACTGTAATTTCACTTGAAAAGAATAGAACTACCTAAAACAAGTATACCAATGATTAGTGTTTCTATAAAATCTAGTCCTCCGATCGTCTATATCTATCTAAATGAACTCGCATCCGTCGAATTCGAATATAATTCTTTCTTTTTTTTTTTAGTACCTATAAATAATGATAAATCTGCTAGTTACGTAGCCCATTTACTTCATGAAGCTGATCTTACTAGTCTTGTTCAATTGGATACAATTAATCAAATAAGATATTTTCTTGATGAACGTGCTGATCTTATTAATCAAGTTTGTAAAAAAAAAAAAAAAAAAACTAAAATACAAATTCTTCTATTATTCTTTTACTTATTTCTCCTTGAAAAACAATTTAGATGGAGTTTACTCGTACACAGTTTGAAAAACAATATGCAACGTTAAAACGTCGTCTTGATGAAACCGAAAGTGAAAATGAACGTCTTAAAGCACAATATCGTTCATCATCAAAAGAACTTGCTCTATATAAAAATCTTGTTGAAGCACCTGATAATCCTGAATCACCACGTAAATCGAAAGATTATCAACAATTAAAATTAACTATTGATAAAGTTTTACAAGAAAATGAACGTTTATATTCCGAATTAAATAATTTTAAAACAAGTGATCCTGTTTATGATCAAGTTAAATTATTAGAAATTAATAATAAAAAATTAAAAGATGAATTAAATAAAATAACAAATGAAAATAATCATTTTAAAAAAATAATCAATCTTGATGAAATTAAACATTTAAAAGCAAATTTAATAAAAACAATTGAAGAATGTGAAAAATTAAAATTAATTAATAAAAAACTTACACAACAATGTCAACAATCAACATCATCACCAAAACAGGTTTGTTCAGTAATTTTTATATTTTATTAAATTTTTTTAATAAGTAAAAGAAAGAAAAAAAAAAAAAGAATCCTTGAACCATTCAGCTCTTTCGAATATAAACGAGAATAAAAGATGACGTATTTTACACGACCACGTCCTTGTCAAAGTCAATTTGTTCAAAAATTAGCAATATGAATAAAAGTTAACAATTATGCATCGCACTTTTTTTTCTTATTATTTATTAAACGAAGTGTAGAGAAAAAGAATTCAAATTTTTACGTTCTTTTATAAGTTATTCTCGATTGAATTGAAAAAATAAATGTAATTTACAACATAGAAATTGTATAAAATAAATTCATCTTTAAATAGGCACATTTTTATCTTTCTCCTTCATCATCTCCAATATCTAATCAACAACAACTATCACCAATTTCACATCGTTCTTCAAGAATAATTGATGAAAATCTTTCAAAACAATATTCATCAAATGAAGTTATTGAATTACGTGAGCATGTTCATCGTTTAGAACAAACATTACATAAACGTGATTATGAATTACAAAAATTACAAAATGAAATCGACAAAGGTACAAGTTCAATAATGAGTTCAATAGAAGATCTTTATACGGCTTCATCCAATGTTTCATCACCAAAAAGTATTCTTAAACATCAACCATCTATTGTTCAATTACAAAATGAAATAGATCAATTACATGATAAATTAGATGAATTAACACGTGAAAATCAAATATTAAAAAATCGTACACAAGAATTTGATACAATTTATGAAGAAAATGAATATCTTTATGCTGAAAAAAGTCAATGTAATGAAGAAATGGAACGTTCTAGAATACGAATGTTAGTACTTGAACAAGAAATTCATACATTAAAAGAACGTGAAAAAGAATTTATTTTAACAAATGATCCATCAATAACAATAGATAATTCTAATACATCACAATTAAAATTAAAAATTGATTGGTTAAATCAAACAAATAATCAATTAGAACTTGAAGTTGTTCGTTTACGTGAACAAATAGATTCAATAACAAAAAAATTTCAACAAACTAAACGAGATCTAATCAATAAGACTCAACATTATAAGCAAATTTTAGAAGCAACTCAAGATACACAAAAACTTCCTCAAGTATATCAAAAATATTAATTCTTTACAGAAATTTCCTTTGTATTTTTTGTTTTTTATTTTGATAGGAATTGGCTCGTATTGAAAAACTTTATAGTGATATGGAAACTAAATTTGAACATGAACGACAAGAGTATGAAAAAACAATTGCAGCTTTAGAAGAACAAAGTGAACAAAGAGAACAAAAATATAGTGTAAGGTCAAGTGTCACGTTCTTTTTTCTTTTTGTTCGATACGATTCGATCTGAAGTGAATCAGTCATTTTGATAATTGTGCTTGTGTTAAGAAATAGTATGAGAGCATAGAATTTTGATTCCAACTGTTCTTGGCTCGAGTTTAAATTTATCTCATTCACCAATATGAAAATCTCTAGTTAATTAGTTTATTCATCCCGTAGTGATGAGCAGCATACATTAGTGCTAAGCGGCATGAAGTTAGACTTTACTACAATTATAGCGTCTTGCTCAGCACTATGGAATATAGTACCTAATTAAAGATATAAGGCTTTTTGTAGAGGCTAATGAGATCAATTGAAGTCAAGATCGAAATTTTTGTAACTCTAATCAGTAATCCAGTGAACACCAATGCCAACAGTGTTTAATCCAGAATGGGCACTGGGAAGACGACGTCCTTCCGAAGATCGAGTCGGCCCTTACAAAGTTTGTGGTAATTGTACCCGTAGCTTCTCAAAAGAGATACTTTTTTAATTAAGTATATAGCTATTTAAAAAAGCTATAGCTATTTATAAAAACATAAATATTCTCAAAAGAGATACTTTATAATTAAACATATAGCTATTTAAAAAAGGTACAGCTACTTAAAAAAATCATAGCTATTTAAAGTGTTTCGGCTATTTTAACCACTGCAGCTATCTAAAATTCCCTATAGCTATTTAAAATTTCACATAGTTATTGAAAATATAGCTATTCAAAATTTCAAAATAGATACAAAAAGACAGATGATAAAATCATATAATTTTTTTTTTCATCAGACCCTGCTGAATCGTATAATCAAGAAACAAAAGTCTCTATATGATTTAGATTAATTTATAAATGATAGTATGATGATATTTTTTTCATCATCAAATAAAATGATATTTTTTCGTCATCAAATAAAATGACTTTTTTTTCATCAAACCCTGCTCAGGTGATAGTTTTTTTTCATCAGAATCATATACTTTTTTTTTTATAAAACTCTCCTCAACAATATGATAAAACATACAATGCACTATATGAATGATAAAAGGATTTTTTTTTCATTCTCAAACCCTGCTCAATTTTATCAGAGAGAAATACAAGTTAGCAGATGATTTCAATATACTTGTAAATGACACTATAGTTATACTTTTTTTTATCAAAGAATTCTGATCAATAATGTGATAAACAAAAAATACAACTAAATATATATTTTGAATAAATCTAACAATCAGAGTAAAATCAGTTTTTTTTCATCAATAGTTACGCAAGAGTTAAACAGTTACGAAGATGGAACATCTCTTAGATAATTAAGTAGCTGTAGCAAATTTAAATTGCAATAGGAGAAGTTTAAATAGTTGAAGAAGAATTTAAATAGTCATGGGAAAATTAAATTGCTACAGAGGATGGTGAAGGATCGATTCTAAGATTAAATAGCTATAGTAGATTTAAATTGCAATAGGAGAAGTTTAAATAGTTGAAGAAGAATTTAAATAGTCATGGGAAAATTAAATTGCTACGGAGTATGGTGAAAGATGGATCGTAAGATTAAATAGCTATAGCAGAATTAAATAGTTGTGGTAGAAATAAATAGCTATAATAGAATCAAATTGCTGTAGTAGAATTAAAATAGCTATGGTAGAATTAAATAGTTATAATAAAAGATTATATAGGCGGATAGAAAATAGAAGAGAAGGCTATATATTAAAAAGTATCTCTTTTGAGAATGAGCCAATTGTACCATGTATAATGTGTCTGCACTTTCAAAATTGTTGTTCCCACTCTCGGAGTTAGATATTATCCTGCCAAAAGACATAATCGAAATGAAACGTTATGTATCAGTATAATCCGTGTTCCAGTAGAACACGTATCGGTGAGTCACTGTTCAATATTTTAGTATTTACAACAACACTGTACATTCCTATACAAGATGAGTTATTTATTTTCATAGGTTTTCAGTTTTCCTTTAGTCTTTTAAAAACACTGTCTAATTCTGCTTAAATCACAACTTTGTCTGATACATCTTCATTAAAAAAAACTTATAGAATTCAATTTTTCTAATACAATCTCTGCTCGAAAGAGAAATACGTACTCTTAATATTTCAAAATCGATATGGTTTAATGAATAGAGATGTTCACGATGAGAATAGTTCTTGATTTTCTCTCTTGTTTTCACTAGATTTATTTTAATATCTAGTCATTAACATTCCATAGAAGCAATGAAATCTCTCAACATCGTATCGAATTGATTGTTTTAATTTATCTTTGAATGAAGTTTTATTTCTAAGAATCCATTTCTAGGCTCTTTATGATACAATTCTTAAACTTCAAAATGATTATCGGCAAAAAGAACTTGATTTTGTTCAACAAATGGATGACGTTATTAATCAACGCGACACTCTTCATGCAAAATTAACTTCTTTTCAAAGTGTCTATGAACAAATTCAAAAAGAAAATAGAGCTCTAGAAGAAGAAGTAAATCTATTATATTGATTTATTAATAAAAAAAACAAACCATGATTTTTTTTTTTAAATTTAATTTCAAAGATAAACTCAAAAAATGCAACAAATCGAGATCTTAAATTTGCTTTAACATCATCAACTAATGATACTCAAACAATCTATAATCAATTACATCAATTAAATACAAATTTAAGTGATTTACAAAAAAAATATGATCATGATATAGCTGAACGTAATTCTCAAATAGAAATTTTACGTACTGAACAAAAACAAATGACTGTAAAATTTAAATACAAATTCAAAAATTCTTTTTTTAATTATACTATTTTTTTTTTACTTTTCTTTAGACACATTATGATGGTGAATTATTTAAAACTCATCAAACAATTATTCAATTACAACACGATAATAATCAATATATCAGTCAATTAGAACGGTATCGATCAAATATTGATAAACTTAAATCTGAAATCAATGAAAAACAAAATGTTCGTAACAACAAACTTTTTGTTTTTGTTTTCTAATCCTTTTGAAAATTACTTTTGTTCGTCATTAGTTTATTGAACAAATACAAAATGATTTAAATGAAAGATCAGCATTACACCTTAATATTAATAATCAATTAACACAAGAAAATAAAGTAAAAGCAGTAAAGATAGCTGAACTTGAACAAGCTATATATGAAGAACAACAACATGTAGGATTTTCTAAAGAAAATAAAAAAATAATCAATTAGAAGTCTTTTATTATTTCTTCTAGAAAGCAGAATTACAACGAACTATTCAAGAATTACAAACAGAACTACTTAAATCTCGTATGATAGCTAAAGAATCTGTAGAAAAAAGTGAAGAATTCGAACGACGTTTTCGTGAAACTGATAAACATTTTATTCATTTAAATGAAACAACTGAACCTACAAAACGTGAAATAAATAGTTTACGATTTGAATTATTAACAAAATCTGATCAAAATACAATGTTACAAAATACTATTGAAGATGAAAAACTTAAACGGTATTTGATCTTTTGAGTTCTTTGAAACGACATATTTTGTCTATTTTTTTGTGAAATACAATTAAAAAGAAATGTTGAAGTACATAGAATAGAAATATGTACTGCTTCCAATAGACTATGACAGATGAAAGCGACCGATAGTAGCGTAAACAGGAGATCGTGGATGGCTGGACAGTGTCCTACGATCTTGGAGATTATTCATGTAATAGAGTATCAACAATGATAATTATTACGTGTTTCTTTGTTTCAGTGGTAGGGCAGCGCTCGGTTTACCTCATCCTTGGCTATGCTCATTAGAGACATGATAGACGTAGCCATAGAAACGTCACAGACCATAACTAGAACACATGGGATTGGTCCTAAATCCGGATCTGACTGGGTTGGAATCCAAAAAATTTAGATTCAATGACCTCTAATTGTGACAGACATCATTTATATACGATCACAGACTGTAATAGATGTTACTGATATATGATCAAGAATCATAGATCAATAGCGTCTCGTGATAATATATGTACTACTTGTTTATTATATTTATTGAGGATTAAATAAAAGGATGATGGGAAAAGATGTCCCAAAACAGATAGAATAAAACGATTTTATTGTGATTAGTAAGAATAGCTACATTGTGTTTCACATTTTAATTCTACAGGAATCGTACTAAAAGCTTTTTTCTAGACAAAGACTTGAACTAAAATTAAAACGATTAAAAGAAGAATATGTTAATGTACGTAAAGAACTCTATGCTCGTATTGAAGAAAATAATGCATTACAACATGAGCTTGTTGAATATCGATTTAAAGTTGATTATTATTCACAATTGAATAATCAAACATTACATTTAATGGCACCTGTAAGTTTAAATTAAAAAAAAAAAGAAAATTTCTTTTTATTTTAGAGATTTCTTTTCTCTCTTTTTAAAATTAGTCTAACGAAAAAGAATCATCGACTGCTATTCAATTATATTTAAAAGAAAAGGCCGATAGTCAATGTTGGCAGTCAAAATGTCGAATATATCAACAAAAAATTGAACAATTACAAAAAAATTATGAATTAACTAGAGATAAATATAAACAGCGTTTACAAGAAGAACGGTTAGAATTTATTTTAATTATCTTGTTTTTTTTGTTTAGTATTTTCTTTATTTAGAGGTATATTTGAACGTACGAAAATTAAATATCTTGATCATATGAAAAATATTCAAAAGGATTTACATGAAACACGACAGTTACTAGAAAAAGATGCCGAATTAAAAATGAACCAAGAATCAGCATATCAAGAATTGATTGATGAACGAAGACAATTACTTACAAGGTAATTTCCTATTATTTTACAATAGTGATATCATCTCCATCAGATCTCTTTTTTTTTCCGTACATCTTTGTATCTAAATAGTAATATCACTCTTTACAAACAAACTTTCTGCTTACTCTTCTGATGTATATAAACTCTGCAAATATGAATATCAGATATTTTTATTAAAACACTTCTAGCAAATTACTAATTTTTCTTTATTGGCATGTGAAGCCATTTGATTTCTCTTTCTCTTTTCTTTTTATTAAATTTGATACGACCAATAAACAATGCTAAAACGAATATGTCGTTTATAATTAAACAAAACATTTTTCTTTCTTTTTGAAACTTATTATTTATGTATAAATTTAATAGTATGCTTGACAAAGATGCCAAAGTGCGTGAAATGCGTCGTGAAAATCTTTTATTAACATCAAAAATTCAATTACTTGAAAATCAAATGGAACATTTAAATGATCGTGTTGATCGAACATTACGTGAACGAAGTCAATTTCGTCTAGATGTTAATAGTGTTCGATTAGATAGTAATGTTTCAATTGAAGTAAATATTTTATTTTCTTATTCATCACGAAAACTGATTCTTTCTTTTTTATTTTATAGACAAGTGCTCGTTCATCACCAGTTTTACCTTCAAGAAGATCAACAACTGTTATTGATTCAACAGGATGGACTCAACCTGTTTATTATACAGAATCATTTGGTTTTAATAATGACCCTCAAAGTGAAACACCTGCTCTTTCTTAAATTAATTATGTTTTCATTTTTGATACACTTCTCAAAAATGAAAATTGAATAAGGTTTTTTTTTTGTTTTTCTCAGGCTAAAAAACAGTGAAATATTTCTTTACACCTTATTCATCATTTGTTTATGTTTTGAACCAGTCTTTGTCAGATATTTCTTTCGTTTCTTTGGCCTTTTTTTTAATTATGAATGTAGAATAAAGCAAAGATTATAATCTTAATCTTCAATTAGGTTATTTTTGTATTATTGTGTGTTACAATAATAAATTTAAAAAAGTATCCAAGCAAAAAATTTAGTTGGAATTACCGAAAAATTCAAAATTTACATTTATATGGTGCCAGTTTTAAGTACTCGTTTATCGAATTCTAATTTCCAATGCATGACGTAAGATATGTATGATATTGGAGAAAAATCTTATTTGTCTAACGAATTCTTCCAATGTTTCAAAGAATAGAATTATAACTTTTTGGTCTAAAATTCCGGTTGAACAATGAGTTGCTTTATCACTTATGGAATGAATATTATAGATTATATAATGGTAACTAACAAATCATGGAACTACATTTATGAAAAGATTGAAAAAAACCTACATATACAAAGAAGTGTGACATAAACTTTTAAAATTTGTATATTTGACATAGACAGCAACAGATTCATACAGAAGAATAACATTCTACAATGTTTATCAAGTACTGTAATAGTCAAGTTCAAAAATACTGTTCGCGATATTTGTAAGTAATGAAAGCTATTCAATATTATCGTCTTCTTCGATATTACGATCAATATCTTCATCTTTTTTTTTTCGACTTCTCTGTAACTCTTGGCATTCTTGATATGATGTGCACGGTCCCCTAACAAAAGATCATTCTTAAGAAACTGACCAAATGTCTTTGAGTAAGTAAAATACTTTGTCTGATCATCTCATCTGATAATCATCATGCTCAACACCATCGCTAGTGAACATTTAGTTTGTAAATTAATCTATATTCGAATAAGAACAATTAATTAGATTGCTTCTGACAAATGATAGTGACTATGTATAAGTCACTATTCAAACAAAAACAAAAATACAAGAAATACGTCACACTGATATAAAAAATCAAGATAACCCAAGACAAGATAAATGTCACGAGAGCATAAAAATGTATCATCATTCCTATTTGTTAATAGCTATCACTCTTTTTAAAAAGATTTAATGTTAGCGAGTCGTAGTCTCTATATGACTATTGACGTAATACATAATAAATACCTTTTATTGCATACAAAAAATAGAAAAGAACAAATAATTTCAAAACTAAAAAAAAAAAAGGGTCACCCACACTTAGTTTTTCTGAATGCATTGAAACTATAGGATTCATCTTGCTTAATATCTTGATATCATATAATGCATTTGAACTGTACCAAAAGAAAGACATATGTCTACCGTATCAACTTCTACTCTCATCAGTTTTCTCATCTTACCTGTTATTCTCGCTTTCATTTCAGCAATGCACGTACTTTTAGAGTAGTTTTCTCCATTTTTTTAAAAAAGATCTATTACTGAAATATATAGAAGAATCTCGAAGAAATAAGTTTTGAAAACTACTGCTTTATTAGAAAGATATAATGTTGAGAAGCCTTACTTTACTTTCAAAACTACACATTTTAAATTTTGAAATACCTATAAGAAGACAATTTTCATGAATATTACTTTTAAGAGACATTGCCAATTAAAAAAAATACATATATATAAACTAAATTCTTCATCAATTTTTCGTTCTGCAGAGTGCAGAGTACAAAGTACTAGATTGCGACATTGTCCAAGACAAATCAAAACAACATTCATTTATCATAAGAGGGCGCTTTTATTCAATATTTATTTTTTCAATCAACATCTGGACTTAATTCAATTGGTCTCTTTTTTTCTCGAGCCAAAACTTGACTCAAAATATGTTTATTCGTCATCAGTTAGAGTGGTGTAGGGGCGTTAATAATCATGACCATTTATTTGTTCTCTTGTCTTTAAATGTAACTTAGAAGATACATCTGGTTTATTTATCAATTATTTTAAATGACAAGCGAGAATCCACCTGCACTATCCGTCCACTTAGCTCATACACTTCGTGGTCATACATCGGATGTTAATGCCGTTATTTTCTCACCAATACATTCTACTTCTCCATTACTTGCTTCATGTTCATCAGATAAAACAATTCGACTATGGAATTTAAATGATCAATCATCCACAACATTAACACGACATACATATCAAGTTCATTGTCTTGCTTTTTCGCCGATTCTTAATGATACTAATGATTCAAAAATTAAAAATATGGCATCTGTTTCAACTGATGGAACTTGTCTGTTGTGGGATTTAACAACAATAAGTGTATTAAAAGAATATAAACATGATAGTGGTTCTCCTATTCGTGTTTGTCAATTTTCATCTGATGGAATTTTATTAGGAACAGGTTAAATGACTTTTCTTTTTGTGTTAAAAATTCAACAAGAAAAAGAAACATTTGTATTTTTTTTTTTTTTTCATATTTAGCTGGTGATGATGAATTAATCAATTTATGGGACATAACTGCTTCATCATCTCGACCAGTTAAAACTTTGTCTGGTCATTCAGCATCAATTGTTGCACTACGATTTTTTTCAAATCTTCTTGTATCTGGTTCTTTTCATGGTGATCTTAAAATTTGGGTTATTAATTCTTCATTTACTGGTCCTGTTCATTTTGAACGTGAAGCACACGATTTAGGTGTAACATGTTTAGACATTGTTTCTTCATCTTCAACTGAAAATCATCATCATCACCATCCACCTCATTTAATAGCTTCAGGTGGAAATGATAACAATGTTAAAATTTGGCATTGTACATCATCATCAAAATATCAATTAACACTTGTAAAAACATTAAAAAAACATGCGTCTGCTGTTATGTGTGTATCATTTGGTATAAAACATTATTTAGCAAGTGGTTCTGGTGATAAAACAATTATTATTTGGAATTATGATACAGGTCATTTTGTTCATCAATTTGATGCGCATACACGTTATGTTACATGTTGTTCGTTTTCATTAGATGGTCATTATTTAGCATCTGGTTCAAATGATCGTATGGTAAATATATGGAAAATAAATTATAATGATAATGATAATGATAACGATAATAATAATCATAAAAAGGCTAAAAAAAAAGAGTTTCGATCACATTCTATTGATCAATGGACAAACGAAATGGTTCAACAATGGCTTGAACAATTTGATATAGAAACAAAATTAAATATAACTGGAAATGATTTATTATTAAAATCTGATAATGAAATATTAGAATTATTTAATAATAATGATGAATTATTAAATGAACTTAGTTCATTAAGACATAAACATTTTATAAAACAAATTTCATTGAAAAGAACAAAGGAAAATTTAACATTAAATGAAAATGAGAAAGACACTACACCAAATGAATTTTTATGTCCAATAACACACGAAATAATGAAAGATCCCGTATGTACATCTGATGGTTATACATATGAAAGAAAAGCCATTGAAGAATGGTTAACAAAACAGAAAACAAGTCCTCTGATGAATTTATCGATCAAGGGTACACAACTCTATCCAAATAAAGTTTTAAAAATGTTAATTGATAAATATGTAGAACAAAACTAATTTCTTTTATGCTTGCTAGTTCGAATATTTTATTATCCTTATGCAATCTTTCTTTTCTTCTGCTTGTGTATTGTTACTGTGATAAGAATGTGAAAAACATTGTATAAGAAAACTAATGCCGCTCTGTTTTTCTTTTATAGATATATAAAGCAAAAATTTTCATGGCATCAAAAAAGCCAAATGTGATATTTGTATTAGGTGGACCAGGAGCTGGTATGTCTTCTTTGATATATGGATCTTTTTTTCTTAATATTATTTTATTTAGGTAAAGGTACACAATGTGTTCGTATTGCTGAGGTCAGTTGAAT